TACAAGATTGGCCTGGGGCATGGCGCAGTGGCAGACCACGCACCCGCATCTCAATCAACTGCGAGGCCATGATCAGGCATATCCTCGCGCCGCGCTCGCGCCACATCCCGGATCCAATCGTATCGCGCTTTGCACTCGCCTGCCGCGCTTTCACTTTCACCTGCTTCAGAAGCCCAGACAGCGCATCCAGGTAGCCCATGTGGTCGCCTGCCCAGTACTTAAGCCGCGCGTGCAGCACCTCGAGCTCGAACGGCAGCTTCTTCTCGTACAGCCACTGACGCGACGTATCCGGCTCGACCGCGTTCAGAACGGTGAACAGATTCGTGCACTCGGCCGACGTCTGGTTGAAGAGCCGTAGGCGAGCGAGAGAGGACAAACGCACATACCATAACTGGTGACCGAAATGAAATGCTAGCCGCGCGCATCAAGCAGCCAGCACTCACGGAAAGAATGAGATCAAGGTCCTCAGGGTCTGCGTCAACTATGCGGTCTCGAGCCATCTTGGCCAGAGCCCGCCAGCTATTCGACATCTGCACGCGGGCCCGATGGTATCAATCTTAGGACGTGTGCACCTCACGACTCTGCACTCACGACCAGCATGTTGAAGTCAGCGCCTTGCCAGTTCCCACTCAGATCTCGCGTAGGACGCCGTTCGGGCGGAATATATTTGGTCAACAATGTGGTCAGAGGGTCCGTCTAATCGTACAGGGATAATAAATAACACGTTGCGAGAGCCACCAAGTGAGAGAATGAAAGAGGGGCGAGCGTACATTCGGAATCGGTAGAAACATTGTAGGGAGCGTGAGGCCGGGCAGGTACAATTCTGGAGACTCTTCCTCATCCGAGTCGCTCTCGGACCGCGGAGCGGGGGGAACGGCCTTGTTAACGTCGACAAAGGCAGTATTGGGGACCTGGAGGGGCAGAGGCTGCTCCAAGGAAACTTCGTCTGCTGCTCCGAAAGGTGATGGAGCGGATAGTCCAACCGCATCTTGGGGACTGTCGCCATCGCCAACCTCCTCTGCGTCTTGTGGGCCGATAGGTGCTGACGTCGTACTCGGCTCGAGCTCGTCATCCACCAAGAACTGGTCTGGATCCCCGTCTTCTGGAGGAGGGTGTGTGCTGAATAAACCCGCCGAACCTGGGCCTTGCTCTGGTCGGTCGAATGGGGGAGTGTCAATGGTGGAGTCCGATTGCGGGTTTGCTGTTTGCAATCGGGGCGTAGTTGGCTGCTCATCCTGCGGCAGTTGGGGATGTTGTGAACCTGACTGGCGCGAGGCTGGGAGTGGTGAAGCAGAGGAGGCCGGAGCGTATGAAGATGCAGCGTCCGCAGTGGATGTCGAGGCCATAGAGTCGCAGCTAGACTTGGCCTTGGGAGCAAGAGCGAAAGTGATGGGGAGGGGAACGTTCTGGGTGGCAGCGGGTCGCTCGGCGGCGGCGGAGCCTGATGCGGACTTGGAATTGTGGTAGAGGTGGCGCATGCCGCGCTTGAGCTTCTTGACGAGCTTGCGGACGCCCTTGGGCTGCATCGGGGGCGGAGATGAGGGTCCCGGGTCGGTGGAATGGGACTTGGAGGAGAAGATGGGAGATGGGTGTGACGGGTGAGTGGTTGTGAACTTCATGTTTGCTGAGGGTGCAAGCGGAGGAAGGCCACGCTTATAAGATGCCCTGGGCATGCCTTTCATGTGCGGGTCGTGCCTCCTGAGCGTGGCCGGATCCACGGCGGAAACACCCTCGACATGCCTCTTCCGTGCGGCTGCGTCGGAGTGCGCCATCTGGTGCGAGGAGCTCGTCCCCGAGTCCGAGTCCTTCCAAGCCGCAGAATAACATATCCGACGACACTTGCTTGCAATCCAGACCAAACCGGAATGCCACTAGCCCCTTCGCTGGGTGCCACAGTCGCTCCTTAATCCAGTCCGGACAGCTCTCAGGCAACACCTCGATTCTAAAATGACATACAGTGGCATCGGCCTCGATTATCGTCCTTCACTGATGCACCGCTTCACGCATGCCATCATCTCCAGATAACACAGATCATTCATCATTCCATTTCGGTGTCTGATGTCACACTTATCGCCGCTCGTTCCTCTTGCACAGTGTCGGATGTCCAGTTCCGAGTCCTTTGAATACATGTACATTGCCCGTCGGGTCGATTTGCATGTCGACCAATGAATCAGCCGTCGACATTCGTACCAGATGCCTACTTGCCATCAGCCATATTCAGATTTAAAACCGTAAATTATAATAGAATCGTTCGATCACAAGGACAGCAGTACAGTACGCCAACAAATTCCAACAGATTATAGATATGGAAAAGGATCAAGTTCTATCCGCCAGCTACAAAACGTTGCACTGATTGCCGGGCGGTTCTAATTCTGCAATTCTAATAACTGACCACGCAGATGGGCATGCAAACGTGTAGACCAGACAAATTGATGAGACAGCATTTGAATACGATTATCTGAGAACCCAGATCGTGTGCTATATCTCGACTGCGAGAATCAGAACGGTAAATAAACGATCGAACTCTCCCCGACCCGCCGTATACACCGTAGAATAAACAGAACACGTGCATCTCGTATTATCTCCACAGAGTAAAGACTACACGACGCAAGAACAATCTTGACATTCCATAGCGTGAGGGTGCGCCCTCAATGATGTCCGACTGCCCCACTGATCAGCACGCGAGCCAATCGGGAGTAGACCGGACTGCAGGAGACGCAGGGGTGCGCCCTGGCAATACTCCTACCTTCCTTCCCGGGCGCGGGAAGAGTTTGCGACAGTGCGAAAGTTACGCAGCAGCGAACAAATCCAATGCGATTGAGCTAGTCTAGAACTGATGTGTTAGCTTATTATAAACGTCAAGGAGAGCCGATATGACTCACTGGAGTGGCCACTACGTACAAAAGCCAGCGGCGGCAGTATCTCTTCCGTCAACTTGACGGCCCCCGCCATCCAGCTGCATCACAACTTCTTCCCCTTGTGCGCTGCCGCTGGACATGGTAAATTCGCTGACCCGGTCGTTATCACTTCATAAATACGAGACCAGGTGTCGCTGTACAACGCGGTGTACAAGTATCGCTACCCAAACGCGGTGGGCAGGTGTCACTACCTGGTGCGACCATGGCAGGATGCTTCCTCACTGATAAGCTCGCGGGCTAAGCAGAGGAAGATTATCAGACAGCGCGAGCCGCAAGGCATGATCGTGCGGGGCGGTCTGGCTGCCTCGCTGATCGGCGGATGGGCCAAGTACACCGAGCTGGTGCCAAGAAGACTCGTAGACTGTGACTGTACCCATTTTTCCGTCAAGAGACGACTTCGAGCTGATTATACTAGTAACTCACGCTATTTGCCCAGTTTTCGAGACGAGGTCCGCGCGATCCTGAGCTACAGAGGAGAGGGCGCTCTCGTACTGTACATATACCTGGCGAGATCGTTGAGACGCGAGACAGAGAGAGCGCTCTCCTATCTCCTCTACCCGCCAGGCATATGAAGCTTTCTCGTCGACCCCCGTGCTTTCGCCAGTCACCAATTGTGACCCGGCAAACGGGGGTCTCCAAAAAAGGAAGACTCGCGTCGAGCGCAACACGGGAGTTTCACTGATCGTCCAGAAGCATGCGTACTTCCACCAAATTTTGTAGCTCCAAAAAACGAGCGTACTGAACGCGGTGGTGCTCGAAACGCTTGCAGCCCATCAGCCCCGCACCAATTAGATTCACGAAAATCATGATTGAAACTCGATGCAACTCACGCAATCTGCTCAAATAGGGAATTGGAATCGCTACCATAACCGGTGGCAAAGTTATCGTTGATTATTCACGACAGCAGGAATGTTCTGCAGCACGAACAAATTAGTGGATAGTAGAAATCACGTACTAGAAACACCAATAGGGGTCGCCGCGAGCGACATTATATACACTCTCCAACAGGTTGCATCGTAATCTCTCAAAAGAGGAGCATCTGAAATGAGGCCATGTCTGTACAGAATGTCGAGATGGCAAACAACGGCGGACGGATGGTGGAGGTGAAGTAACAGGCGAGGACAAGCCCGAGAATCCGAGTTTGCGACCTATTCGGTTAGCGCACGTGCCGCCGCTCCTCGAGTCGCAGACTCGCAGTCGAGTCGACCACGGACTACTGCTCCATACGTCTGGTCTTGCTCAAGCGTTCGCCCTACAGGTGCGTGTATTGAAATCCAATGAGCCAAAAGTACGGCTGCCTATATCTCCAACTACATTAGCAGATTGTGATACACGACATGGATGGCTTCGACGACCTGCTGTCCCGCTCACAGAACGTGTTAGACAACCCATTCGAAAATCCCTTTTCCAAACAACGTTCCAGCTCGCCGGACCCATGGGCGAGCTACGGTCAGCCATCTGCATTCCAAGAGGACGTGCAGCCGGCCTTCCTCGGGGCGCGCAGCACCACGCCGACTCTTGACATTCAGCCATTTGGCGAGTCGGCCGGATTCGAGTACAGCGCGCCCGAGCCGGAGCCCACCCATGTTTCTGATCAAATCGCTGTTGCGGAGGCCAAGACGGAGGTCCAACCAGAGCCAGAGCATGAGGTGGCTGAACCCACTTCACCGGTCTCACCAGGCTTCCGTGTAAGCATCGCCGAGGAGGAACCGCAGCCAGCAGACTTCCAGCCAGAGGCGACACCATCGCCCATTACGCCTCAGTCGCCCACGTCGCCCGTGTATCCAGCGACCGCACCAGCGACTTCAGGCAAATTTGCGCCTTTCCCGGGACATGCGTCTCGCCCGTCAAACGCATCTAACTCGTCCTCGTTGCAGCCCGTATATAAAGCCGAGCCGGCGTTCCACTCTCCTCTTGATCCACCGGCCACAGCAGGCATTGAGCGGTCGATTGCGGGCCTGTCCATCGGCGGGGAGACCTTCAATGGATGGCAAGGCTCGCAGAGCGCGTTCGTTGGGGTACCCCAGTCGGCAGGCGTGACGCGCAGCAGGAATGATTCCGATTCTTCGGATGACGACCGGCCAATATTGCAGTCTGCAAAACTGTCGGCGAATCGTTTGCCACAAGTGGTGAGTGTTTTTTGGGACGACAGCCATTCATACGTAGCCACGGCTGAGCGTGGCATGTATATCCAGGTTCGTCCAGCATCGGCTCCGCGCACTGAAACTGGCTTGCAGCCCGTCTTCATGATCACGGTCGATGACCCACAAAAGGTAGGAGATCCTATCCGGGCATATACCATGTATACCGTGCACACCAAGGTAAGGTCGCATATTCTCACTGCTGTTGCTCGTCACTTTTCAACATGACGCTAGACAACATCCCCGCTGTACAGCAAATCCTCCTTCTCCGTTCTTAGGCGCTACTCCGACTTTCTGTGGCTATATGAGACACTGTCCCAGAACAACCCGGGGGTTGTTGTTCCACCTGTACCGGAGAAGAATCCGTACAGGCGGTTTGACGAAAACTTTGTGCAGCAGCGCCGCTTCGCGTTGGAGAAGTGCATCCAGAAGATTGCAAACCATCCTGTGCTTCAGAAAGACTCGGATTTGAAAATGTTCCTGGAGAGCGACAGCTTTGCCCTAGACGTGGGTTTACGATGATGTGCTCTAAATGTCCGCTTCGTTGACAAGGACCCGAATAGATCAAGCAGCGTAAGGCCGAGCTTGCACACGAGAAGGGCGGGTTGATGGCCACGATAGGACATTCACTTGCTGGCCCAAGGTATTACGAGACAGATGAGGTCAAGTTAATCCTCTGCAGCCTTGAATCAATCGCTAATATCTTTCATAGTGGTTTGATAGACAAAAGGCATACCTGGACAGTTTGGAGTCGCAGCTGCGTGGTTTGGTTAAGTCTATTGACCTTGTAGCGAAACACCGGTCCGGTACGTCTCTGATATGATGTTTCCATCTCAGGCTGATTTCCCCCTGCTGGACGTGATCATCGATAATATAGAACTATCAGCGGCGACGGGAGAATTTGCGCAGGTACTGACGGAGTTGTCCGCGTCAGACTTGGGCGACCAGCTCTCAGGTTTGTTCTCTGGCCTTGCTGAGGTAGAGAGGAAGGCGCAAGAGCTACAAAGTACGCAGTCACGCGAGGACGTGGTCACCATTATGGGGACAGGTTTGTTTCCGCTGATCTCAGCTCGCGATCTGCTGACGCGCTACTGTCAGTGGACGAGTATTCCCGGCTGATTAGTTCTGTTCGAGTGAGTTCCATCCTGAGCTCATGGTTTGTTGGGGGTACTTAACGGAGATCGCCAGCTCGCGTTCAGTTCTCGCATACGAACATACCACAATTGGCAATCTGCAGACGGTCATGTACGACGCGTGAAGCAGACTCATGAGACAAATCGGGCGCAAGGGCGTATACCGTCGGACCAGCTCAGTCGTTCCTTGTCTATCATCGCTGAAGTGAGCATTCATGTTGGGTGTATCTAATCTGCCTGTGAGATTCTAACGTCCTCCTGCAGGCGGAACGACGAGCGCTGGACGCCAAGCAGGAATTTGACCAGGTGTCGAGACTGGTGAAATCTGAAGTAGCTCGGTTTGAGCAGGAGCGCATCGAAGACTTCAAGAACTCGCTGGAGGCGTTCTTAGATGGGATGATATCCAGGCAAAAAGAGGTGCGATCAATGGTGACAAGTCTCATTCTAAGGTTGACAATTCATCCTCCAGCTGATTGCAACATGGGAGAGTTATCAGCAGAGACTGCTCATGGTAGCTGCGCCACAGAATCCGCGACCAGCGGTCGACTCGAGTGCCACATCTACCGTCTCATCGTAGCTTATGTCGAGTTGTATGTTCAAATGTTTTGTTATTTCTCGGGAATGCTCTGGTAAATTATGCATGGGAAAGTAGAGATGCGTGAACTAGGAAATGACTATGCTATCGTCCCTTGGTGTACAAAATTGTGGCCTTTGCCGCTCAAATTTTATGACAGTCCCTTCCTCACTCCCAGTATCTCGGCATCTTCGCATCGTGTTCATTGCCTCCGATCTCCAGGAAGTCTGACGGACGGTCCCGCTTTAGATTCCGGCGCCGATTATTGAGTGGTAGTCGTTGATACGCTGACTCCTGACCGGCGGGTTGTTGGTTCGGGAAGGGATTTGTCCATGCTGAGCGGAAATCTTGTTGGTAGCCTTGCATATTGTTGAAAGGCATAGCGCTTCCCGAAGCCGCGGCGGACTGCAGGGTCGCTGCCATCGCAGCGGCAACCTGCGCTTGCTGCAATTGCATCTGTAATTGCTCGTACTTCATGTGCGTCTGCTGTCGCGCTGCAGGAGGAAGTGAAGGGTTGTTGAGCATGACTTGAATCTGCGATATCTGCGCCTGCAATTGAGGGATCGTCTCAGCAAAGATCTGCGACATATCTAAATCGCCACTTGGCTGCTGCTCAGAATAATAGTCTTGATCAAAAGCAGCAAGCTCATTAGAATTTGAATTTTGGGGTTGTTTTTGCTAAGTTGCAACTTAGTTTTCGTCTTTACTACAGTATCCACTAACAATACATACCTTAATTGCGGTGCTTAGTTCGGGAGCACCATTCATCTTTAACTCATCCTCCGTCGCTGCAAGGCGACTCCTTTCCATCTCTTTGTCGATAAAATCCCCAACTTTTGTCCGCATGGGCTTATCAACGATGAGTTTATCAAGCGATGCAATTCGGGCACCGCATTTAGGGCAGGCGAAATCGCGCTCGAGGAGATGGGTCTGAACACATTCCTCACAATACAGTGTGCCACAGCACGGTGTTTTGACTGCATCGCGAAAGATTTTGTTATCTATCGGACATGCAAGAGATGAATCTGTAGGCGTCCGTTCGCGGACATCGGCCTCCGTCAGTCCCTTGTTCTTAGTAACCTGCTTCTGCCAAGAAGCACTTGAACAATGTCAGTGAAACGAGTGGAGCAAGCACGTCCGGCAATACATACACGTCAGGTTGAACCACTACATAGCCGCCTTCTGGCGTTACCATCACACCCTGTCCCAACTGTCCATTAGGCGATTCGACTGCCTTCAGGAAACTTCGTGGGATACCAGTCGTTCGTTTGATTCGCGGGCGATTGTCGTATTCGCGATCATTGTTGGTAGGGCAGTCTTGAATCCAGTGACCTTGGAATAGTGAGAAATTCATTAGACGCACACCGGAGGAGACGCAGACCTTTTTGTCCGCAACGGTAACAAACATAACTTGGGGGTAACGGACGCTCTGACTGATGATGTTGAAAGGGCCTACCACCTCGGCTTTGCGAGGCGCCACCACGAGTATTGCTGTGAATACGAACAGCACTATAATCACCACGTAGCAGAGACAGGATGGGTAACAAAGAAAAAAATAACGTTCATTAGAACACATTGTACTACATAGACAGGGAAACCGCGTAAGCGCGACACCAACTGAGACATCTTTTCTTGGGTCTCCTCCCAGTTAGCGGTCTGGGCTTGGAACATGGCAGCCATGGCAGCCGCCTCATCGCCCTCAGTCACCGCCGACTTGGCCGACACAGGCTGAGCATGCATTAGGGTTTACATACACAACGGAAAGTAAATAGTCAGACGAACCGGGGTGGATTGGAAGATAGACGGGGCATCTTTCTCTAATTTACCATCAAAGCGTTTGGATATGTTACCTGCGCCTCTTTGCCAAGAGGAGGGGGCGCTTGTTGCACCGCCCGGTTTGGAAGAATCGGAACCAGACATGGGACCCGAGGTGCCAACGTACATAGCAGCCTTACCCTTTCCCGGGCGTACAAATACACGCTTGACCAGCACCGAGGAGGAGCGGGGAATAATATGAGAATCATCCTTGAATTCTACACGCCTTAAATCGTCCACACGACAGCACACTGAACGAAACCACACACCTTCGCCTGAAGAACTGTCGCAGACCACAAGGTCAAAGTCGTTGGCCTTATTCAAGTTGTTCGCTAATATGATCTCTTTCTTGAGGTCAAAGACAGATATTCCGGTGCCATCGAAGGACACCCTAGACTCCTCCCTCTGAGACTTGAACTTGTAGAAAACAGACGATGCCATTCGACACAGTATGAATTAAAGACCACTGCTAGTAGTACAGAGCGGGCCACAAAAGCACGAACAAGAGGAATGGGTGGTTGTCGCAGTGAATGACAAACCAGAGGACGTGGAGCAGTGCAGCCTTGGGGAGACGGGCACACAAATACATCCATTGAAGCGGAGATTCAACAGCTTGTTCTCACGTGAGCGTGGCGTGGCTGCAAAAAGAGCGAGTTCAAGTCCAGCGCGTCAGGCCGTTAAATATCCCCAATCACATTCCCTTCTCCGTATCCTCCTCCACCACCATGTCTGCGGTCGCATCTGAGCCCGCAGGCCTGCGCCAGCGGAACGTCTCTGGGAACAGGTCTAACGGCGCCACCATCAGTGATGAGGGCAAAAAAACAGACCTTTTACTGGATAGTCACGTCGAGTAAGACTCTGCCAGCATGTTGAAGACCGTACTCACGCGTCACTTAGATATGAATTCGGTGGTCCATGGGGTGTGGTTGCTATCATGACCGGATTCCCTATTCTCATGTACTATCTGTGGATTTGTCTCGTCTTCTACGATGGCCAGCTAGTACGTCCTGATTCTATGGATGACTTCAAGCCATTCCTGTTCCGTATGTGGGAGCACATTCGCCAAGTGAGCATTTCGTTTGACGCATTCTAACACGGCGTTTGATCTTGCGCGACTAGGATGCCAGCCCCAATGCGTATGCTTGGAAAGTCTACACAGGATTGATTGCGTACCAGCTGCTCCTCGCCTGGATTGTGCCAGGATACATGCAAGAGGGCCTTCCAGTCCCTTCTCTCGGATACAAGACCCTCATGTACAAGTGCAATGCAGTATGGTGCATCTACATCACCATGGTCACCGCTGCCGTACTTCACACCACGGGCATTTTCCGCATGACGGAAATTATAGATAACTTCGGCCATCTCATGACTGTTGCCATGATTTATGGCTTCGGTGTTGCATTCGGAATGTACTTCCTGACGGTGGCCACGGGTAACCAGATCAGAATGTCCGGCAGTTTCATCTACGACGTCTTCATGGGTGCTTGCTTGAATCCCCGCTTAGGCCCTGTGGACCTCAAGATGTGGCTAGAAGTCCGTATTCCTTGGGTCATTGTCTTTTTCATGTCGGTCTCTGGGGCTTGCAAGCAGTATGAGCAGTATGGATCCGTCACGCCGGTAAGTGCAGGCGCCTAGCGGTTCGCCCTTTTCTTCTTACCGGACACCCTAGAACATGGCCTTCATGTGTCTCGCAACGTGGCTCTATCTTAACGCTTGGTCTGTGCTATTTTCTTGTTATAGGCGAGGGATGCATCTTGCTCATGATATTGGCCTATAGCGGGAAAGGCGAAGAGTTGATTCCCCAGACGTGGGACATGTTCCATGAGAAGTATGAGGAGCTTGTTGATACATTAAGCATCATTGCTGATCAAAGATCTCTACTAGATGGGGCTTCTTAGTGATATTCTGGAACTTTGCTGGCGTTCCCTTCGTGAGTGAATTCGGCGACTCTAGGGGCGTTTCTGACCTTTGCTTCCAGTCTTACATATATTCTGTGGTGTATATGGCTTCACATGATCCGTCCAACTACCGGTTCTCTACTCCGACTTATGTGTTGCTATACAGCACTCTCCTCACGGCCTATTACATGTAGGTTCCACTCAGGCAGCCACCCTCAGAGCAAATACTAAAGCCAACACAGCTGGGACACTTCCATGTCGCAGAAGAGTCGATTCAAAATGCAAACACAGGGAATCTTCTCTTACCGCAAGACGTTCCCGCAGCTTCCGTGGGGGACAGTCAAGAACCCCAGCTTCATTCAGACTGCTCATGGGTTTGTGTCCCTGGTCGTAGATGACCACGGCGTCGCTGACATCACGATCTACAGGAACCGCCTCTTGACTGACGGATGGTGGAAATACAGTCGCAAACCGGTGGGTTGGAGCGGAAATGGCATTTCTTGTCGTTGTACTGACTATGAGCACATCAGAATTACGTCGCTGATTGGATCATGAGTCTCACTTGGGGCCTCGTTGTCGGCGCATGCTCACCCATCCCTTACTTCTATTCGGTGTTTTTCATCGTTGTATTGATCCACCGCTGCGGACGGGACTTTGAGAGGTTCGTCAATCTTGTCGGCATCTATACCCTCTTAATACTAATATGGGAGTGTAGGTGTGCCTTCAAATACGGAAAAGACTGGGACAGATACTGTTCTGTGGTCAAATACAAATTCATACCCGGTATCTACTGATGAAAGGATGTCCGTTTGGTCAGGGTATACCTAATGTTATGCTAATTGTTGTCGTTGCTATCCATTTAATAGAAATCTTGACGTAATCAAAAGATAACTTGAATAAAATATGCTACGAGATGGTGTCGAATTGTCTGGATATTTGTAAGAGCAGGTCTTCGATCCTCTTCTGCTTCTCGTCGATAGCGTCCAGTCGCTCTTGCAACCCTACAGGACCGCTCTCTTCTGCTTCCTCCGCGGTTTCTAGAGGCTCGCTGCTGGATTTAGCATCTGGGCTTGAAGATAGCATTTGTGAACCCAGCATGTTTGATTTCCCTCCCGAGCTGTATGTCGGGAACCTCCTCAGGGCCGTCGATTGGTTTTGAGAAGGTCCACTGAAGACGTCGTTGTGCGCAAAGCCGGTGGGCCTGCGCGGCATCGATGTGAGTCGACGGCGCGAAGCAGGGCCGTAGCTGACAAGCCCACTTCCGTTGTCCACAGACTGCTCATCCGTGGCGTCGTCATCTACTACCAGCGGCTGGAACACTTGCGCGAGCGGACTGCTAATGTTCTGGGTGAAATCAAGGCCGCGGGTTACGATCGAATTTAGGCGATTACGCGGAAGCGGGATGGACGGCCCTGATCGACCCTCATTCTTCATTGATGAGTTCGGGGGAGTGGACGGCCCGCTGGTCTGCGATACGCGTCGCCGAGATGCTTGCGAGAATCGCCGTTGTCTGGGCATGTCGACGGGTGGTATTTCGTTACCTTCGCTCGTATCTAGAGCACTTTCATCGTATTCTTGCCCGAGTTCAAAAATCTGGGCGATGTAAGGAAAGAAGAAATAGCTATTGTCACTTGAAGACTCACGACATCGATGTCTGCATCTGGGCCAGATAAGCCCTCAAAGAAAGCTGCGGAGGAGTAAGCAACCGTAATCTCAAGGTCAGGGTCGGTAGCACTTACACATGCGCTTGAGCGTTCGAGGAAGTGTGTCAAGGGCCTTGTCCATGACCGATGAAATGGTTTCGTAGAACGTAAATGCTCCACTCCGTTTTGCTTGTCTCTCATACCATGCAATGAGTAGCAACAAGGGAAAGCTCGTCAGTCTGTAATATGCTGCTAAGACTTTTTCCTTGAACGCATTCGGAGGGATCGACTTACCGAATCATGAATACATTGACCTGAATGCACGAGAACATTATTCGCATCAGCAAACCTTGATTGTAGACATAAAAGGATATACCTTATGGAACCAGCGAGGGCTGAGCAAATAACTGGCCGGTAACATGACACAAAGAGCGATCAGGTTGATGGGAGGTTGATACGAGAACAATGGGTCAGCCTTCACGCTGCACAGGTCCTTTATAACACCATGTCAAATTTGGAACGTCGAATCTCTCACCCTTCTATGGTTAGGACTGTCCGACGAAACATAGCCTAGCAGCAAGATCAGCCACGGTCAAGACAGCATATTCTGGCGATAACTTGCCTCGGCTGTAGCGTCGTCGTTAATGGTAGCAAAGGTGTTTGACAGAATCTATTCTAGAGTTAAGATCGTCTCAGTCGTGAAAGTTCCACTAGGCATACCGAAACAAGAACTGTACACAATATTTAGCAATGTGGGCGCTAACATCACGGCATGTTTACATACCAGTCAATAGTAGGGTATTACTCAAGCAGGCGTACGCAACCATTATGATTGGTCCAAAGACGGGATGGAACTCCACTATAATGAACATTTCAGAAGAATGACCATAAGCAAGGATTTGCACGTACTCGCGTTTTCAAAGCCACTCGCGTCTAGCCCGAACCAGAGGTCAAGCATCCACCAGGCGATTTGTCTGTGAGGCGTTGCCTTAGAGTAAGACTGGGAAGCTTTGTAGATTATCTGAGAACACTCACCCTGCCGAATATCTAGAAATGATCATCATACCATGAGGGGGCTCTAAAGCATGAAGCACTTACCCAGCTTGAGTCCTACTCAACCTGTGTACATTTCGTAATTAATTATCCATACGGTATGAGGGTCATCGGGAGCTCACTTACGTCCAGAGAGCGTATAGGAAACCGCCAAAACAAAAAGCAGCGATGACCATAAGCGCAACGAACTGAACTATCATAGCACGCAGAGCGAGGACCATTACATTGTTCTGCAATGACACAAACGCCAGCCTGGGGGGGGGACAAGGAAACTTAGTAGGACGAAGATTATGTATTCGAACGTCATATACCTCGGAAACATGAGCACCGCGATTACAGCGAGAAAGTCAACCCCCAAGAGCTTTGCCCAATGATCTGGAAGAATCCGTAACCAGATAGAATTCCAGACCATTCGCTCAGCGGCTGTTTTTGACAGGGGTATAGAGAAGGACGAAAACGTACGGTAGTTGTATACTCCAATTAATCTCAGTATTGCGTATGTGCAGTAAAGCGTCACTGGACACATTATGAGTCTCGTGCTGTACGAGGACAAGACGCAAACGAACCGAAGGCTAAATCGAACCCGTTCTGCGAGAACATTCGCGAAAGGGACCCAAGATGTCAGTCGTATCTTTGAAAAAAATAAATAACAAAGAGGCAGTGACTGACCCATGTGCCCTTGAAATACACTGAGAGAGTGAGTTGGTCGTGTCGATAAGCCATTTCCATCGTTCTGCAAAATCAAACAATAAAACCAGACCTTTCATTCCGTGTTCTTGCATCGCTGCGATTTTCTCCAGCGTGAATCCGAGTGCGTATATCATAAATACAGCTTCTGCAGCGTTTATATGATCGCTCTCGTTGAACTCCAGCGCAATAACGAATAGAGTAAACAAGATGAGAAAGCTGCGAAGAGGATAGGAAACGTCGAAAATCAGCAGATATCAATCACGCACGACTTACTTCATGAACTCCAGTACAGACCGAATAGCAGGTACTTTTAGTCTGACTGCGGTGTAAGGAAACATGGACATCCGGCATTAATGAAGAGCACGAACCGATAATGGTCCAGTAGAGGCGCCTTGTGAGGATCGTAGAAGTGGATGGGGGTGCGTTTATACGTCTGAGCAACAGTGTATGGTTTGGTTAGTGAGAGACGGATTACAGTTCATATACGTACGTCAGAGAGAATTGAACGGCTGCTGTCGGCCTGATATACGATCTTACCACTGCTACGAATGAGTTTCAAATTTACCAGCACACAGGTGGTGCTTGCCTCCAAATCCCATCAATGACTTTCTGACATGCAGAACTGCTTGTGAAGCGTTTTGCTTGACCCAGAATGGCCATTTCAATCGCGTTACCAACCCTCTCCTCCAAGTCGTCGTCCATCTCCTCCCTAGCACGTTCAAGAAGCTCTGGAGGGGCTCCAGAGTACACGGGCCAGCTTGTGGTGACAGCTAGTGCGAGTTCTAACATGTTGGTTCCGTGTTCTCGGAGAGTCCGGATAGCGAGAATCTCGCAGAGCATTGCGCGAGTGCGTGAGAGAGCAGCAGTCGTTAAGTGCTCGTCGCGGCGGAAATATACTCGGTTGAGCAAGAAGCAGAACACGACCGAGAGGTTTCCGCGGCGCTGAAGCGCGTTGTATTTCTCCTCAAGAGGACGGACGAGGGTGTAGGTGAGATCCGGGGCAGTCAGCTGCAGAGCAGGACTCAGCCATAGAGAGACGTGCACTGTATGCTTGAACACTCACTGCTTCATAAGTGAGGGGCGTATCTATCATACTCCGTCAGAGAGTCGAAAGGAAGTACTGGGCACAACAATATTCTCGTACCAATATAATGCTTCATGTGATTGCAACAGGTTATAAGCATACAGTGTACTTGGAATGAAGGAGTTCAATTACCGTGATATCCTGACCGCAAGTGAGTTACATGCCATCCTTCATGAAAGAGTACATACATCTCGAATCATGTGAATAATAGGGTACACTTCCGTTGTGTCGATATCCTGGGCCCGTAGTAAGGGCTGCCGTTCCTGCAGTTCCTCCGCCATGATACTATCTAGAGTGAATTGATGAATGCAGACGATTACGCCGGGACATATAAAGAGTCAATAGCCAAGTTGCAAGGCACAAGATGGGTGGCTGCGTTCGGTCGACGCCGTCACGGTGTGGTGCGCGAGTCGCGAGCTCGGAGCTCGGCAACGAACGCACGAGATTCATGCATCACGGTCACTCGTATCGCACGTGCACCGAGCTCGCTTTAATTTTAAGTTCGACACAGAGACTCCGAGTTGAATTCGGTATATCATGTATGTGCTTGCCCGTACTTAGGACTCGGAAGATGTCAATATTTCAACACGGTCATGGTCACGTAGGAAACCTGACTTCGGCAAACCGTTCACGGTAGCAAGCGCGAGAGGAAAGTTCAACCATGATGGGGTCACATTTCTCGAAGCAGTCTTGCATGAGCTGCAACATGCTCTGTACTTCCGTTCCCGTTTCCGCGACTGCAATAGGCGGAGGCGGACGCTTGGGCTGGAATCTTACATACGCAAAGGTGAGTGTTTTCCCTGGCAACTTCCATTTGTTCGCACCGCCCGACAGGTGAGTCCGATTATCGCTTGTCTGTGACTTGATATATTCCATGTCAAGCGAAGCATATTAAAACACTGATAACATCGGCTTCTCAGTGACATGCCCGTACTATGCCGGCGCGTCATCTGGAGTAAACATCTGGAAATTGCGATTATACGTCCCGGATGCGAGATACTTTCCATTATTTGAAAGATCCACAGACATGACTTTCCCACCATCCGTCGGCAGCGTGCGCAGGAGTTGCCAGTCATCTGCACTCCATAGTTTGACCAGTCCGTCGTACCCGGCACTTACCAGGTACAGCCCTGCCCGATACGTCCGCTCCTCAGCCTCTTGCGCTTCCGAAATCTCGGTTTCGGACTGTTCGTCAGTGCCGTTCATGACAATATCTTTGTCAGTGATGAGGTTGTATGGGAGGTCCCGCCCACGGAAGAATCGGACATCAGCGACATTGGATAGATGAGCAGGAATGGTGTACAGCGCCTTGAGCGAACGCATATCCCATATCCGAACTGTGTCATCGCCTGAGCCTGTTGCAATCTGGTACCTGTTCGAATGTAAGCACAATTTGGGGCGACAGATGTTCGGCAGACAAACCCGTTCGGCGAGAACGCGATTGAGAAGATTCCTTGAACATGGCCATCCAAAACCATCGCCGTACGACCAGTCCGAAGATCCCATACTCGCCCAATTGCATCCAGACCCCTACCAGATGAGAAGTAAGGAGTGGCTTGCCGATAATATTGTGGTACATACCCAGAGGCCACCAGGGCTCCATCTTCCTGACATTCTATTGCATATACCTCTTTCGAGTGACCCTCCTGAAGTTGCAATTCCTTCGCAGTTGCAACGTCCCACAATCTCCACGTAGTGTCAAAACTCGCGCTAGCTACATAATCTCCACTGGGGTGGAAAGCTACTCTGCAGATCCGATCTACATGCCCCTTCATGACGGATAACGGTGTCTCGCTGAGATATTTTAGATGCAATGGCAGCAAGTGTAAATTGCAACTTACCTATTCAACGACCATAAATGAACGCACATGTCAGCCGCGCCGCTCACGAGATTGACAGTCTCTTCGCTCTGTGAAAGTGTAGCTTCGGGATGCCATGCCACACCCCCCACTCTATCACTGTGACCTGCAAGACGAAGTTAGCCTGACCACGTCTTAGAAATCTCCGCTATCACACACCGCGAAGCGTTCGTATCGGCGTGCAATTTGGCACGTTCCACATTTTGACGCTACCTGACCAACTACCAGTCGCCAAAATTTGGCTGTTTGGAGAGAATCGAACTTGCGATATAGGTCGCTCATCACCAATCTGAGAGCCTAGCTCGCCAAACCGCTTGAAGGGGTGAGATGCGACAGGTGTGTAAGATTGCAAAATGGTGTATGGCAGAGTTGTTACTCACCTTGACTTCAGCAAAGATCTTCTTTCGGATATCAATGATTCGGCCCAGAGGTATTTTGCTGTCTATTCGCTGCTGAGCGACTCGTTTTTGAGCTCTATAAGAGGACAGACACACGGAGGAGACACAGTAAGCACCTTCCTCATGATCCACCTATCGGTAGGGGAAATCCAACCTGGGAAGCGAGTACTCCGCTAATCGTTTACGAGCCTCCAAGAGCTCTAGTGAGCCCGGAGTGTAGAACTCCTCCTCCTATTACAGGGAGAGAACATTAAGTTCCATGCAGACCTGTCTTTCAGAGAGACATACCTCCTCCTCGCTCTCATCGCTCGACTCATCGTCGACTTGCATAGTATCATCTCCGCGGGCCGCATTGATTTGTGAGAGGACATATATTAAACGGTCTCTGCGATCTGCCGCCTTGTGCGCCGGGTATGTCAGAGCCGCCTCGGCTGTCTGAGATGACCGGCACTCACGCGCTCTCCGAAGAGGGTGATGGGCTCTCCTATCTCCCGCAGCCTAGCCTTTACACGGTTGTCGTCGGTGGGCACTGCGAGGCTGCGAGCTTTCTTCTTCCGCTCCAGCTCGTCGAGGATGACTTTGTTCTCGAGCCTCGCACGCTCTGAGCCCTGGTAGTTTCCATCGTCGATGAGAGTGTCGAAAGTGAGTTCCGACATGACAACCAGCCGTGGCACGAGCGATAGGATGAAGCCTTCCGCGAGTCGACAAAGTCGCAGCCATGGGCGCGATGTTTGTGCGTGTGTGGCAACAGCTTTAGATCTGCGATCCTGGCGCGCAACATGTGAACTCAACTCTCCTCGCCTCCTCTACATACGCCCTCTCCTCCCTCCCGGGCCCTGCCCTCGCCATGTCTGGCGTCGTCTCCCCAACGCCCTTGCGGCACCGAAAACCTCTACCCTCGCGCACTCCTGCATACACCGAAATAAACCAGGAAGATGACCAGGTCGAGTTCTCAAATCCGGTGCGTGACACGTAGTAGCGAGGATGTCTCCATCCTCAATGTCGCGCTTGTATCTCCTTAGCGAAACCGCAGCACGGTGGAGCAAGTACTCGAGAAAGACCGTGCCAGTATGGCCATGGCCGCGTTTCTGACCGTTGCTGCATTCGCTCTGCGCTTCTACAAAATCAACCATCCGGACCAAGTAGTGTGAGTCGCGTCTTTCCGTACCCTGCGACCTCATGACGCGAATTACTGGACCCCTGCAGGTTCGATGAGGTCCATTTTGGCAAGTTTGCGTCGTACTACATCACGCGACAATACTACTTCGATGTTCATCCTCCGCTTGCCAAGATGCTATTCGGTCTGGCCGGCTGGTTCGTTGGATACGATGGACACTTCCTGTTCGAGAACATTGGGGAGAGTTATACCGAAAACCACGTACCATACGTTGGCATGCGCGCGCTCCCTGCATTTCTCTCTAGTCTTACCGTGCCCATTGTTTTTGCTATCATGAAAGAATGCGGCTATTCGACGATCATTGCCGCGTTCTCTGCTTCCATTGTGTTGTTTGGTAAGTCTCTTAGTGTCCCTCTGGATCCTTGTTAAAGTTAGACGCGCTGGTAGATAACGCGCATGTCGCGCAAGGTCGCCTCATCTTGCTGGATGCTATCCTCATATTCTTTATGTCTTTGACGCTGTATTCCTATATTCGCTTCCGAAAATTGCGATACGTGTACGTGCATCTTCTTTCTGCCATTGCCTCCAGCTTACATTACCCTAGAGAATATTCCCCAGAATGGTGGGGTTGGCTGTTAGCGACTGGAACCTTCATGGCTTGTACATGGGCTTCCAAAGTAAATGGTATTCTGACGGTCGTGGCAATCGGTATTCCGGTTTTGGTTGACCTTTGGGATATCCTCGATCATAAGAAGGGTCATAGCATGGTCAGCTCGCCCCTCAGTCCTTCCATTCTCTTTTCAATGCCATTAACAATCCTGAATTGATAGGAATATTTCTGGCAACATTTCTTGGCAAGAGCCATGGGACTCATTGTTCTCCCAATAATTTTCTATCTCATGGTGTTTTATGTACACCTCTCCATTCTGACCAACACTGGTCCTGGTGATACTTTCATGAGTCCTGCCTTCCAGGAGACTCTCAGAGGCAATGAGCTATTGTTGAACAGTCAAGGTTAGTGGGTAAGTCATGTCTGTGCCATTTAATTGAAAAATACCCTTGGTCTAGAGATCCGCTACTACGACACTGTGACGGTTAGGCACAAGGACACGAGGGTTTTCCTACATTCCCACCCGGAGCGATACCCTCTAAAGTATGATGATGGTCGCATCAGTAGTCAAGGTGAGACCTCTACTGACCCAATATTGCTCTGTCATTGATGTCATTATGACTAGGCCAACAGGTTACGGGTTATGGTCATGACGACTCGAACAACCACTGGCAGATCGTTCCGACCAAAGCGCTCCCAGAGACTGGTCGTGGGCGTATAGTGCGTCACGATGACGTTGTACAATTTCTCCATGTGAACACCCAATCGCTACTGCTTACCCATGACGTTGCGTCTCCGTTGATGCCGACTAATCAAGAGTTTACGACATGGCCTAAGGACGATCACTCACGATATAATGATACACTCTTCTACATGCGACTAGTAGATGCGCATGAAGGGGAGGCGTGGAAGAGCAAGTCGGGTCATTTCAAGCTGATTCACGTACCAACGAAGGTCGCTATGTGGACACACCTCAAGACGCTACCAGAGTGGGCGTTCAGCCAACAGGAAATTAACGGTAACAAGAACAGCCACGAGAAGAGTAATATTTGGTTCGTCGATGACATTGTAGGCGAACAGAGTGAGTCCTTGCTTGCAGGACGCGGCGAGATCATTGCTGAAATATCCACTGCTTAGCGGATGAGGATGCAGCGAGCCGCACTAATGTCGCACCGAAAGAGCCCAAAAAGATGAATTTCTTCAAGAAGTTCGCAGAACTGCAGCTCTTGATGTTGCAGCACAATGCTGGCCTAACTGCCTCGCATCCTTATGCTAGCGGGCCCTTCAACTGGCCCTTCCTTATCAGCGGTATTAGCTTCTGGACAGAAAACAACGACCAGAAACAGATATATCTCATCGGCAACGTCATCGGCTGGTGGACATGTATTGTCGGCATTTCAACATATGTTGGGATACTCGGAGCAGACCTCCTTGGACGTCGGCGAGCAATGGAGCCGTTGCCCGAGCGTAAGTCATCTTGATTGAGTTTTGTTTAAGAACCGAGTGACTGATGTAGGTTTCAGCTGTCCGAAACCGACTCTGGAACTCTGCAGGGTTCTTCCTTGTTGTGTGGGCCGTTCACTATTTCCCCTTCTATCTCATGGGCCGCCAGCTGTTCATTCACCACTATCTGCCCTCGCACCTCGCATCGGCGCTTGTTGCGGGTTCACTGTTGAGCTTCGTCCTCTCGGAAACCATCAACTATCCGATCTCGGTTCGAGGTCCTTCGATGTCTCGTGTAAAACAGCGCACTTATGCCGATGTGGGGCTCAAAGGCCCCATCATCGTGGCCTTATTTGCGCTAATGATGCTTGGCATGTTCATCTATATGGCGCCACTGACATATGGAACGCCAGGGTAAGTACTACAGCATGTCTCATGTTCAACTTGCTGACAACGGACCTGTACAGGCTGGATGGTAACTCGGTGAACAGCAAGCGGCTGTTGTCTTCCTGGACCTTGCATTTCGCGGCGAAAGCTAGCGATGCTTAGTTGTGGGATCGCTGGTGAGGATGCGGATATCTGAGTTGTTTTTCATGTATATATTCTGCAGAGGATTCTAATGTAGATAATTATGTCGTCGGCGAACGAACCCTTCGGGGGCTTCGTCTCGTTGATAGAACCCTTTGTAATATAGTGGATTCTTGCTGGTTGCGAGCACTTGGAGGCGCGACTAGTTGGATAGATAGACTTGCGCTGCTGCAGTCGTAGAAGTGGGTGGCGCGAACTAACACCCACCATTGATCAAACCCAGATGTGCCATCAAAGGTACGGAATATCCCTAACAACATACAACGACAGGAATAATAAAATGCGTGCGGTGAATGATACAATGCCAAGTGAATTGATAACATTAGAGTCGAAGGCCAAGCCGCAGAGTCCTGTACGGTCAAAAGCGTCCATTAGATGGAATTGTTCTTGACCTACAATAGAGGGTTAAACTAGAGCAGGTCCAGGTTCGGTCGCATTCACACACCTTTTGCATGAATCCAGATACACGCCCAATATCAATCACTTGGGCTTCGCTCTCCACAGCGATCACTAAATTTTCAAGCATCTGCGTCAAACACTTGTATCAGTCTGGTGATATAAGGCATTCGATCTGACCACCTACATCTTCGATCTTGTCGATGGGTACACCAGTACACAATGCTACAATCTTCTTACACTGAAATTCTTTCTCCGCGCTGGCACCTTGCAGTAGCCGCAACCGAGCATCCATGAGCCTCTCAACTCGCTCGTGCCACATCTTGAGCCTTCGTAGCTTGATCAAACTGGCAACGGAATTTGAACCGGGAATCGCGGGCTCCGTGTCTAGATTGAAAGAGAGGTCGACAGGACCTCCAAGACCCGCCATCGTCGACCCTACTCCTCGCAGCTTGAATGCTGGACCTGTGATCGTACTAGCGTCTGTGCCATCAAGTTCTGTTCGCCCAGTCCAGTCAAAGGCCTCCTCATCGCTGAGAGCTTTCTCCAAATTCCGAGCGCGCTGCTTCACTTGGTCCATCTCCCCACAGCGTGCAGTCCACGATTGGATCTGCTTTCGCTGTTCGGACAGTTCGCGCGTGGCAGCACGTAGATGAGCTTGAGTAACATCCAGTCCGTCTTGCTTCGTCTTGACCTCCGCTGCAAAATCGGTACCCAACGTCTGAACCATCGTCGTAAGATCTACAAAGATGGATGTCAAAAAGAGTAAGATAGCTCGCAATCAAACATACCAGCGATGACATCTTGGCTTTTGAGCACCGGTGCAGAAGGCCCAGATCTGAGCGATGCAAGGATGTCCTCGGCGCGGGGCCCTCCACCCAGCTCCTTCAATGTGCCATCATTAGCTTCCCGGTGCCAAAATCTTCATGAGATGTAACCAACCTCTGTCTCTACCCCGAAATCGCCAGGCCTTAAACCTAGTTTGTTTGGCAGGATGCGGTTGGCGCCAACATCAAGGAAGGTACGGACCAAGCTCCTGTTTCCTACTCGAGCTGCAATATTGAGCGCGGTGTCACCATGCTCATCTTGTAAGTCTACAATTGAGCGGAAGTCGCCGCTTTGATGTTGCGCGATCCAGTAGAAGATTTGGTCGAGGTAGTATCTCGCCGCGACCGCGCGACCTTTCACACCTGCTGACGCTACAACATGATGTAGGACCGATTTTCGCGAAGAGTCAAGGGTACGGATAGACCCATGAAGTGCGCCTACGAGCAAATGAAACGTTTGCTGGTCTGCGTTATGAGTGGCAAGGCACGCCCGAACCAGCGCCGTCTCGCCATTGTAGTTCCCTCGATGTATATCTGCGCCGTTTGTAATTAATGCCTCCACTGTAGCGTGTCGGGCCATGCTTGCAGCAAGATGTAATGCGGTATGGCCCTGGTCGTCCAACACTAGGTCGATGTCCACGTTCAAAGCAGGGTTATCGGGTGCAATGTCGCGTATTTGATCAATTATAGGTAACGGATGGTCGGATTTACAAATAGCATTCACAATTGCGGCCCTTCGCGTGTCACGGAGGGGAGCTGCTGCATCCGTTGTCCGTGGTATATATGGTTTGGAGGCAAATCTCATAGTGAGTGGGTCAACAACTTCAAGGTTGTCAGCCAGACCCCCGTTGGGAAGAGTAGATAGCGAGCTGGGTGGACGCGAAACGCCGTTTGTAACCGTTCGTGGGGAATGGTGTGATGCTGATTCTATGTCGGGATGAAAAATCTGTATGCCATGGTCTACCATTTCGGATTGAAGGGGCGATGGGTCCAATCGCGCTCGTTTGGTTGGGGAGGGATTTCCATTGAAGTCCACTTGCGGAGCAGTTGACGGTGGTCGTGATCCATCCATCATCTGAAGGTCGGGTGATCCCGCAAGCGCGGCTGAAGGCGCTTGCAATGGTGGCGTAGGGGAAGAAGCGGACATGTCCGCCTCAAGCTCTGATCGTGTGCGTTTCAGTGAAGGAGGAGGGGTCGGTGAGACGGCAGCCATGTTAAAAGGAGATTGCGCATATGCGCCTGGAGTATACGGTGCCGATGAGGGCTGGACACTGGCCTGCACTAGATGCATACCTGATGTGGATGGTGTAAACAAGCCCTGTGCACGGCCTTGGTTGAGGAGACGCAGCGCGGACCCGGGCATGATGGGCGGCGGGGCGAGGCCAGCAGGCACAAAATTTCCTGGGATACCTGGATTGAACAAGAAAGAAAAGAGGACATGGTAAGGAGAGTACCTGAGGTAATATTTGGCAAGCCTGCAGGGAGCGTACCGAGAGGATTCGCATTAGGGACAAAATCAAAGAGAGGTGCTAGAAGAGGTGCAACGCCATACTGGATGGCAATGTCACGACCTCGCTCAAGAGGGATCCTTCGTAGCAATGAGCTAAGCTTAATTTTATCAGAGGGCGACGCACCATGTGCCCTGGTATTTACCGTAGCCTCCCTGCACGATTTCATGTTTCCCGGGCAGAATCTCCTTCTCCAGAATCTTCGTGCGGCGCCCTTTGTCAACGCCGGCGACTTTGAGGATTTGAGTTGCATTCACGTAGGAGTCGCTTCGTCTGCGCATGACGGCAATGCCGCGGACCATGCATTCATATACCTAGGCGCGACGTACGCGCTCGGTCGTCGTGTGGACGCGTGAATGTGGCGACGCACCTGTACCGAGGAATAAACAGCATTATATATCTTGACTGGAGGCTGTTGCCCGGGTGGCCGGGAGATGGCCTGCATCGCGTCGTCGTTGTCGTCCGTCGTGGCCGTCGTAGGCGGGGAGGGACAGAGGATATGCGAAGAAGCGCTCTCACGCGCACGTCGCGCCCGGAGACGCGCTTCAAGACAAGCGTGTTGGCGGAGCTCAAATCCCAGCCACTGCTCACGTGGTCACCCGCGGCGCGCCACCACCGCGACACAGTCTTGGTTATGTAAGCTAAGCTAACGCGCTCTACACTCGCCAGTCTAACTTGAAGTCCAGCGTGCGCTGCTCGGGCCCGTCCTTGCTTGTTCGTCGTCTCCTCTCACCGTGCGTTGCGTCTGCTTTCTGCGCGGGCGATTTATCTGGATCATTGCGGCAAGACGCCTGGTAACATTTAGCCATCACCGCCCGCACTGCACCAGGAACAGATTACCGCCTGCCTAAATCGGTCTCTTTGCCCTTCCGACGACCATGTTTAATGCCCCCCGTCCATCGCGGCCGTACGGCACATCCTCGACGAACGGATTCGGTGGCAGTTTTGTGAACGAGAATCCCCTTGCAAATTCTATCTACGACGACGGCCTTGATCCATGGAGTAGCGCACCTAGCCCAGCTCTCCCAGCTCTTCCCTCCTTCCCGTCAACTTCTACCGGATTCAGCTCAGTAATAGGTAAGCAGCCGTGGATCATTAGCAGGTTTCAATTTATCTCACTGCCGGCGCACTCTCGACAGGTGAGGCAACCGTACCAGCAATTTACCATCAAGCTTTCGCGGCGGTCGATGGTGCCAATTCCGGAGAAACATCCGTCAATGCTCTGTCACGAGTTCTTGGGACTTCATCCCTCTCCGCATCTACGATAGACAGAGTGCGCCGGACTGCTGTATCTCATGCATAGATACTAACAGCTTTCTAGATTGTGAGCTTGGTCAGCTCTCGTCCGCGTGTGTCGAGATTGGAGTTCTTTGTTGCTCTGGCACTAGCTGCCCTCGCTCAGGGTAGTAGAGGTACGCTCCTCCGTTCGTAATCTTTAGACGTCGGCGGCTCATACAACAGAATCATAGACATGAGTATTGAACGGGTCGCTGCCTTGGCACAGGAGGACTCTTTACCCGTTCCAAGTCTCGATTTGACCTCATTAGTGCCGTCAACATCAAATTTTGGACAGTATCCTAGTACTGAGACTGCTCGTTCGCTGCCCGCGCGTGGGTATTCTACCGAGGACCCATGGAGTACGGCGAAATTTCCAGCAGCCCCGCCACATACAACCAACGGGGCGGGCGATGGCCTATCAAACGGAATCCCTTCCAGCATTTCTGGCACTGGATTACCCAAGGAGTGGTGGAAGAAGCAGGAAACCGTATATGTCAATATCCTAGGGCAGCAAGGTTTCCTCTTAAATCGATATCTCGTCTATGAAATCTCGACTGATGTGGGCGCTCGTTCTGATCCTCGTGTCATCTTATTCTTACCCGCCCGCAGCGAGGCGCTCCTGTTCCAAGACGCTATTCAGAATTTGTTTTCCTGTGGGACTACTTGGTCAAGCGTTATCCTTTCCGCTTACTTCCCGCATTGCCACCAAAGCGTTTAGGGCGTCAGTACCATGGCATCTCTCGTTTTAACTTCGTAGATGTTGATGACTGCTTTCGTATAGCCGACGAGAGCTTCATCGAGCAACGCAGGTGAGTTCTTCTCGAATCTCGGTTACTTCTCATGCCTTACGCCTTCTGCAGGAAGGGCTTAGCAAGATTTTTGAATTTCGTAATGTATTCGGATCTCTTTGTGCCTTTGACTATTACATCTAACAGGTATTCTGATGTAGCAATCATCCTATAGTCAAGGACGATGGGCTGCTGGCGATATTCCTCACGAAGCCTTCGCTTGAGTCTTGGCGTAAAGAGAACCCGCAGATTTCTTACGACGAGGAGTCTGCCAACAAGCGCGTCGACAGCGTGGAAGAGATGAGCATTCCTAGTGATCTGGACGACAAATTGGTGTACGCTTGATGATATCTTCTCACAAACCACCATGCTCACGATCATCACGCTGACAGGTCGGTCCGTGGCAAAATAGGTTTCCTCCTTGAACACTGGCAGCGAATTTGCCTGTTGGCGGAACGAGTCATCAGGCGCCGCGAAGCAGAAGCGGTACGCCTTACTCCTCTCGTCCGGCGGTCGTACCTACCGGCTCATTTCGCCTTCCCTCCGTTCCCTCCGTCTCCCACTTCCTCCTCGTCTGATGCGGATTCATCATCGTCCATCCTTTCGGCGTTGGGCGTTGGTACACCTCGTGTTCGGGAACCGCAGGCGGACTTGGCCAGACTGACGAACACGATGAAGAGCTTGGTTGAAGTCAACGAACGATGCTGGCGGGGCGACGAATGCGACTTGTGCACGGGCGTTAGGCAGGGACTCGCCCACGTTTCCTCGCATCTGCAGAAGCATTCCGATTTGCTGGAACATCGGGTAAGTTCACCGACATGTATGGTTGTAAGCTCTTTTCACTGATGTTAAATGCAGTCTCGTACGATGTTGTATTCCACCTTGGAATCTTTGAAGGTGAGGTCTAGCCGAGCTTCATGTGTAGTAGGTTTTCTAACACGTCATCTACAGAGCCAGCGCGATCTATATATCGCTCTTAGGGATTTATATATCCGGCACGACAAGTTGTCGGGCGATCAGGTTGACCGCATGAAGAAGCGCGTAGAGGTCAACTCATTGAAGCTCGAAAATGCGAAGCAAAGCAAGAAAGATGGCTGGGAACAAGATGCGGACAAGTTCACGGTCCTTATCGAAAAAGACCAAAACGACATAGCCATTGCTCTTAAACGGAGAGTCTTCATACGTGCATGGTATGTTTGTTCAATGGTGTAGGCCCGTCGCGTGCGATTTACAGTTGTGCTTTCTTCCAGCATGTGGCACGAACTGCGGGTGGTGTTGCATAATCGCGAAAATGCTCTTCTAACTCAGGCCGTCAAGCTGTTCTCTCGCGATGAATCCGAGTTTTCAGAGAGTGTGATGTCGAACTGGAGTTCGCTGACGGAGGCGGTGGAGGGCATGCCGTTTGAATAATCGCTTGCAATCTAGGGTTTCAGTTAGCTCACGCAATTATTGTCGCATGCTTGATCATGTCCAGATACCACTCATATCCTGTCCTGCACCATCCTCAACGGACACAACTTATTTATTCATCCCCGTCCGCACTCACTCTCGTGCTCCCATGCACAGTGCACCTCTCGAAAGTGTTCCGGGTTCATATTACGCTGCTTGGATTACACTTAGGACATAATCATAATCATAGCTTCACCGGGAGACTGAGTAACGGGGGGTAGTGATACAGGCCACCGAATGCACGAAGGGAGATACAGCTACAGCGAATCATAATAAGAATTATACTCCCAATTGTCAGCTCCACCGTGCTTGCTCGTTCCAACCCGGGCCGCGCGGGGGGCTTGACATACCACCCCGTCCACGGCCTCGACCCTTCGGCCAGCCAGTGTCGCGAGGTCTGTCGAGGTCGCGGCCGCGGCTCCTGCCGCGATTGCGACCCCCGCCTCTACTCCTATGGCTTCTGTCACCGTCCCGCTCGTGGTGGAAACCCGGAGGCGGGGGACGAGGTCGGTCTTGCTCATAATGAGCGTGGGGGATGTCTGTGTACGCGTGGGGAGGCTGCGGGGGCTGTGTGCTGGGGTACGGAGCGGGGGGCTGGAAGGGGGGAGCAAAACCGGTCGGCGAGCTCAGCCAAGGCTGGAGGGGAATCGCTTGTTGAACTTGGGGGAGAAGGACAGGGGGCGTGGGATGGTGGGACGGGGCGGACGGGATTGGCTGAGGGGGCACCACAGCAGACGAGGTCAGTGTCCGTAACATGGCCTGGATCTGCTCTGGGGTTAGTTGCGCCACCCCTGCCGCCAATGCCGCGTCGGCGGGCGAGCTCTGCGGCAATGATGTTGGGGCGGGAGGTTGAGGATAGACATTGGTGGAGGTAGAAGCCTGCGGGACCTGCGGGACAGCAGAGGGAGGAGGCGCGACCTGAAGATATGGAGCGGCGGGCGGCGTCGGGGGCGGCGCGAGTTTTCCCTTGGTCAAAACCCAGATGCCCACAAGGTAACTTGCACTCCTTGACTTTGGGAGACGCAAATCGTCCAAGAGCTCCATGTAGTCTGGAATGGCGTCGGTTGAAAGCAGCGGCACAATGTACAGCTCTCGGCCTGGCGCCCACTCCTTCGGTCGGTTGCCCCACGGGAAGACGAGGCCGTGACGGCTGCGGAGGGAGTGGAAGATCCGTTCAGCCAATATACGACGCAAATGACGGACAAGCTCACCTCTTCCCCACCAGATGGTTGACGAGTGCCTGGAACCCCGCGCTCTCGCCGCCTGTACCGGGATCAGGAGAAAATGTGACGGCGATCAATTCTTTGGATGGGTTGAGCCGCATCTGCGTGAGGTATTGCGCCGATTTATCCACCGGCACACGCCCATCAATGCGCATCTCTTGCGTCGGGAACAGGGTGCGCCACAGGGGCGACCCATCTCCCAGCGTCCGCCCACCCGTTTGGCGGGCGGTGAGTGAAACGCTTTGCGCCACCGCCGCGTCTAGCGGCATGCTCAGCTAATAGGCGTAAGTCAGAACCAATGCGGTGTGCAAGGAAACACGGAGCGGAAAGCACTCACTGTGCCCGTCCAGACTTTGGGCAGGATCTCAAAAACCGCCCGCTGCGCCTCGGGGCTGTCGTCCGGTGTCGGAGAGAGGCCTTTCTCGTCCTCGTCCTTGCCCAAGAACATGTCAAAGTCCTGGTCATCAGCTTCTCCGTTCAGGACGTCCATGTCCATGGCTGCATCTGGCTGGACCAGAGCCCGTTCGCTCGATTGGGAGCCGTGGGCCTGCTCGAGCGCAGAATCCGTGTCTTTTGACGTCCAGATAGCATTGAGATCGAAAGACGGGCGGTCGCCCTTCGCACTTGGTGCGGCGAACGGGGAAATGCCTGTCGAAGACATCGCTGGGGGCTGTGTCGCAGGAACAACGGGCGTCGAGGCGACACCGTCAACGACGGGGGCAGAAGCCACGGTCGTCGCAGGGACATCCGGAGGAAATTCATCGTCAATGTTGATCAAATCTGCCAGGTTCAGCTCGTTCTCCACTGGCCCAGTATAATCAGAGGCCGGGGGCACGAACGAAGGGTTCGGCGCAGGCCTGTCCACTTCCGCCATCGGCGGCGTTGCAGATTCACCCATGTGCAGAGGCTGCATAGGAACCGAGGGGGGAGCACCCCAGCTCGATGTCTGAGATACAACAGGCGATTCAGGTGGAACAGAACCCTGACCGAGCGTACTAGCAGAGCGTGCGCGCTCCGCCTGCAATCGTAATCGAGCCTGACGTTCTTTCTCAATCCTCTCCTCCTCCTCTTCCTCACGGACACGCTCGATATCACGCTGTGCAGCACCGTTCACGTCTTCAATGTTCTCAATGCCCTTGTGGGTGATCTTTGCCCGCGGTAGAGTCTGCTTTTTCAGGATAGAATGTGCCAGCGCCTCTTGTTCAGCCTGTCTGATCGACTGCTTCGTTTCCTCATCTGCTAGATCAGTAGAAGACATAGTAGAAAGCTCTTTGGGAGTCAAGTGGGCTGAAGCAATGCGCTTGTGGAGAAGGACACGGTCAGGTTTGCTTAAATTAAACGACAGCATTCGGAAGCGCTCCCTGTAGACGCAAGTCAGAGCTTGTTCGCGGAGATGGAGCCCGAGTTGGACATACTTGTATTTACCCGCGGCCACTCGTTTCCCCGACTTATCGGGCTCAGAGTACATATCATGGACGCACTCCTCCAGCTCCAACGCAAATCGCTTCCCCGCTACCTGCACCTTCTCCTTTTCTTCGTCTGTGAGATACTCCTCTTTTTTATCTGGCTCGGTGCCATTACGGTTTTCTCCGGACGCAGGATCGACATCACGTAAGAAGGGATATCGCAAGAAAATAGAACAAAATAGCTCTTGGAACTTCGTCAGACAATACTTCCTAGTAGGATCCTCTCCTGATTCTGACCGCGCCCGCTTCGCTGGCGGCTCAGAAGTAGTTGATTGCTTGCGTTTAGAGACACCACTGTGAATTGGCGAGTGCGACTGCGATTTATCGCTTGCTTCACGAGTAGTCACGCTGCCGCGATGTACTCTCTTTGCCGCCCGGGATGTCTTTGTCGATCGTCCGGGTTCGGATTCCGTATCCGTGGACGCAGAAACACGGCGCAGACGGCGCTGCATGACATGTTAGATGCGCGACTGCAACCCAAGCGGGATCACGCTCACCTTCCTCGATGACTCTGATTTCGTCCTTTCCGCAACATATTCGTCCCCACTGTCCTCCTCCGTATCCGATTGTTCGATTTCTTTCTCGCTCACAGCCTCCTCCGCGTCTCCCACAGCTCCCACGTCCGGCTGGCTTCCTGATACGGACCTCTCTCCTACTTGCTCCATGCCGTCGACGCCTTCCCATTCCACTGCAGAAGAGAAAGAACATCATCAGCGATCACGAATAGACTGGCCATGAAGGCAAGCAGAACTGATAACAAAAATTCCCAAGAAATGGGTACTTGCTCGAGTGCTCAAGGAAGATAGGCCGTACACACATTACGAGACCTTCGGGCACTCGTTCGTCATTCAGGCAGTTCACTATTTCACAAGCCTTCTCTACTACCACCTTTACAGTGATATATAGACCGACGAAACGAGCGCCAGCCTATCACCCGGACGCACTTGCTGTCGGACTGACGCGCACGCTCAACAATACTCTACATACGAGTGACTGACAGTGGCCACTCATAGTGCAACATGAGAGCAGTCACGACAACATTACAAATGGTATTGTCGAAGTACATGGACGAGCGCACAGCAAGAGACCTATCGGTGAGAGAGAAGGGCCAGCAATACTCACTGATGGTGCGCAAACCAGTTTTCTGGCTGCAAGGCGCGCATATGTAACTCTCTAGGTGAGACGGGTGAACAACGGCGAGAGAGCTTGTGATGGAGGAAACATACGTATATCTTCCGCATCTCTGTCGCTCAGGTCGATGCAGCGAAAATGGTACCTAGAAAATAATCAGGCTCGGCCGATGCAGCCAACAGCAAAAGACTGGACGCACCATTCCTTGCATTCTTCGCATCTGATCATAGGCGATCCGTCATCTGGCTTTCGACACGAACAATGCACTTGGGAAGCCTTACTCGCAACGCGCGGCTTCGACTTCCCCTTTGCAACTGTGGCGGGAATCTTTGTGTTTTCCTTGTTGTCTAGCTCTGTCTGGGATTCCGTCCGCGCAGGGCGCGAACGGGTTGCTGGGCGAGCGGTCATGGTGCTGCCGCAGGCGGGTGGTGAGGAGCCGGCGAGCTGTGTGGTGGGTGTGGTGGACGCGGAAGAGGTGATTGAGTGAAGATAACCCTGAGTCATCCCACGTCCGACTATGGCAACTGGGTGGGACCCGGACCACCGGCGTTGCCACACGATTGGACCCCTATCACCTCCGATCCCGCGCCGCCGCCGCCACCAAGCTACGGCTCCTTTAGAAGTTGACAAGCAGGATGTACTAAGTTGCTATTTGTATGCTATCAGTAGTCTCAGGCTTACTGGTCGGAAGTATTATACGGCCGAGTACGAACTAGTGGTGCCGTTTGACCTGTCCCAGACGGCCAGAATGTATCGTAATGAGGCACCTTCGAGTCGTCCGGATAGATGCCATCCATTCGAATATCGAATTGTGCTCATATCTCTGTCGGCTGCGGAGTGGAGCCGCTACCCCTTAAGACGACACTCCGGAGCGTCGTGACCGACACGCTGTATGCGGTGTATTTGCACAGTTGCACGGTATAATCAGCCTGGGTACAAACACATGGTGTAATACAGGGAAGCTGGGTGTAATGTCGCTGTAATGGTCCGGCGCAGTGATAAGTTCATACGGGCGCCGAGTAAGCAGCCTCGCTCCACCCACGCCTTCATAGTGGAAGCTTCCCTGGACCCGTATCAGCGGCCTTGTCAATCGTTGGGCACGGCACGATGATTCTTCGAGCAATTGGGACCGAAGATTAGACATGAGCATGTGGTAAGCTCCGCGCAATGTTCCGAGCGAGATACTACAACACAACCTGCAATCAAGGAAATTCGAGCCTTTTCAAATGTTCAAAGTTCAATGGGAAAACTGCTGCCAGCCAGAGGCAAGGTGGACGCGCTCGATCTTGGCGAAATCTCGAGGGCAGTCACGTGACCGTGCCATATGGTGAGCGGAACACGCGGAGTGGCTATTTGCAACGGTCGAGGGCTCGAGGCGCGGTAAAGCTCACCGTGGACGGAGGCTAGCAGGTCTGGAGCTCGCTAGTGAAGGGGCAGAGTAAGTGGTCGGGCTACACATAGGGGGCATGGGATGGAATTCAATGGGTAAATCAACAGCGTGTCTGCGTGGACGAGATGGGTGATCAGCACAGTCAGGAGGCCGATTCCGGTGCTAACAACGGCCTGATGCAAGCGGTACGTCCGTCATACCTTTCGTCATTGGCGTGGGGTTGAAGAGTCTAAAACAATGGCCGCCGCCGAGGTCGAGGATGTGTGGTTTGCGATGAAGCTGAAGTTGAATGGGAACAGGGGTCGAGGTTGGCCCCTGTGGGCAGTGGCAGTGGCGGTGTTGGCTGAACGCATTGGCGGCGGCGATGATGAGGATGAATAAAAGCAAGCGGCTGCGACGGCGGGGGGGCGCGGTGGCCGGACTCGACGCGTCTGATAGCGTGAGCAAGCGCCCGAGTTGGAAAGTCGGCGCCTGCATCCTCCACTCGGCTAAACGGGCGCTCGCAGTGAAAGTGCCGGTCCTCCCGCTGCACGAGGTGTTCCCATCCGACTTCGCATCCCTCACCGTCGACCCTCCCAATCCCCTTCGCTCTTTTCTCTCCCCGCCATCCGTTGGCACCGTCCCCCACGCTCCCCGACGCGTCCCGCCCCTTCTCCCCCGACGTCGTCCCCATCGTATCCCCCCCGTCCTCGCCGTGTCTCACCGTGATTGATCAACCTGCAGTGCTTCTATCGGCCTTGTGCCCTCCTCTCAATTGGACTTCGCGGCGCGCGGGGAAGCTGGGTGTATGCTTGTCTGCTGATCATCGCCTCAGCTTGCGGTCAGTCTCCCCTCCTTTCGACCCTCTTCTCCCTTTTCGAGTACCAGCGCGTGCAGGCAAGTTCTTCTCCCCCTCGTTTACGCGATTCGCTGGGCCGCAGCGCAATCTTATGCTCGTTTCCTATCAAGTCTTCACAATCTATGCTCACTCCTATCCTCTCGCTTGCAGCCTCCATTCGTGAGTCCTCCTGCGCCCGGTCATCTTCCGCCGTTAGCACTGATGCTTATGTTCAGGCATAGCCACTAGATACCCTCATCACCAGCTCCCCGAATCTTGCACATCCACATGGCGGCCGCAGTCCTCAGCTCTTCAAAGCTTTCCATCTCTAATCCGTTCTCAATGGTTTCCCACAGGCGCTCCGATGCTCCTTCTCCCCTTCCGTCATCGGCAGCTTCGTCGTCTAAGCTTCACTCTTCAGGTCAGGGTCCATCAGCACCGGAAGTACAGCCGAAGACATTCAAGCGCCTCCGCTCATCGCTGGAGCAAAGCTTGCGTACGGCCACAAAGTCCAAGGCCAAAGCGAGTGTCTCCTTAGACGAGTCGGCAGTCCTCGTGGCTAGCGAGAGTAAAGGCAAGGAGCGCGCGTCAGAGGATCACATCGTCCCTCAGGAGAAAGACAAGTCCAGATCGAGGATGCTATCTAAGGTTTCATTTCGTCGGCCGGTCGCCGGAAAAGAAGCAAGTTCCCCACCTCCTGTGCCAGCCGTCAGGCTGCAACAGGATTCCGAACACGGAGACAAGGGCGGCCAACGGGACAAGCACCGTGTAGCGGGTACCACGAGTTTTCAGACGCCCTCCCTTAGACAAGCCTCCATGTCTTCGCCTGCCCTTCCAATACCTTCTGCCTATACGCAGCCCTTTGCCCTTCCGAGCACCTCCTCGTCGAATCTGCCCGCCCTGGTCTCGTCCCCTAGAGAGCGCTCACGAAAGTCGGATGCACAGGCGAGCATTAGTACAAGAAATATTAGTGGACCCACTCCACTCACGCCCAAGCGTGACTCTCGCCTCAATAGCGCCGCGAGTTCGTCCCCGACCCGCGAAAAGCACAGACCTTCAGCCCTCACTCTCTCACGCAATGGCGAACGTATTAGCCCTCGTTCTCCAGAGACCCCAACGAGGCGGAGCCGAGAGCATACGCGATCTCCAGACCTACCCCCATCACCCACCCCGCAGGGCATGGTGGGACTGACGTCCCGGCGAGCCGCTGCTAGTGCGTCCAATCTAGCTCTCCGTGCTTCACCAAGCCCGCCTCCCTCCCCCACCCCATCTCCGATGAGTGCTATCCGGGCGCGGTCTTCATCTCGCACGCCCACCCCTCGTGCCGCGCCCTCCGCTTCCTCATCGCATCTTCCCTTATCATCTACATCGTTCACATCGATATCTGCAGGGCGGCCATCGCTGGACGCTGGTCGTCCTTCCCTGGAATCCCGAAGACCATCGGCTGATACTGCGAGACCTTCGCTAGAAGCTCGGAGGCCATCAGTTGATACGGCGAGACCCTCCTTCGAAGCTCGGAGACCCTCAGCCGACTTGAGGAGACCATCTTTAGACGTCCCGAGGTCCTCGCTAGACGGCCGACGTCCTTCGCTAGATCAACGACCTGTACCTCTCTCGTCTTCACCACCGTCTAGAGCGGCCTCTCCGAGCACACCGCCGCGCACTCGCGCCATCTCGCCATCTCATCGCAGCTTTTCTCCAAACTACTACCAAGGCCGCCTGCAAAATGCGTCTACTACCTCGCTGTTAGCATCTAGTCCCGAACATCGAGAGCAGATCCGTTCTGCGTCCTCGTACCTGTGCAAAGAAATGCTGAAGCCCCCATCGCAGCTCAACAAGTCAAGTCTTCAGCCACGAGAGTGGGAAGAGGTGGAGGTTCGGATGCGTGGTTTGGCTAGGCTTGAACGAGTGTGGGGAAAGAGCGGCGCTGGCATGGGCAGCTCGAGCCAGCTGAGCTCGGTTGGGGTGACCTCTAGTGGTCTGAGTGCCGGCGGAGAGGAGAGGGAAAAGAGGTTTTTTGGTGACGCGCTGAGGGATGGCTATGTTCTTTGCCAGTGCGTGCATACACTCACCTTTGACGATCGCAAATTTCACTAACGCTCACCACGCGTCATTTGTGGATAACCAGACTCATGAACAAGCTTTTTCCGGCACTGATATCTCGCGTTGACCCGCGAGAAGACGGGCTTATGCGTATGTCCAACGTCACGAAGTTCATCGCCGCATGTTCGTCTGTTGGCGTTCGACCTGAGGACCTCTTTCACCGAGACGACCTCATCGAATCTAGTGCCGAGTGTCTGGCACGGGTAGCGAGGACCGTCATCGCGTTGCAGAAACTGGCTGAGTCTCCCGCTCCCGAGAAGTCCATCCAGGGCGGCGGAAACGTGCAGAGTGGGCAGTCCCCAGGCCCATATGGTTCTGGTGCCGGTTCACGAGGCGCGGCTTCCACACCGAACCTAGCATCAGCGCAAATGCAACGATCTACCTCGCCCGTCGGCCCACACACGCCCGGCCGCAAGCGATGGAGCCCACCACAACCGCTACCTACTCTTCGATCCGACAGCCCGATTGAAGAAGGTTCTGCGAGCTCCAGCGATGGGAAGGCTACCGTTAATGGGAAGGTTGCGCGAGATAGGGGTACACCTGGCGGTAGTGATATTGACGAGGTCCCACCTATCATCTCTCCCCCTCCCCGCTCGCCGCTTCGTCCAAGGGCCAGCATCGAGAGGGCTTCGATGGCCGATTCGACTCTTGCTATGGTTGGCGATTCCGTGCGAGGCTCCATGGTCGACTCGATTGCATCTGTTCCGATGAGACAGTCTCAAGCGTCCAGTTACATGACCGATATGACCGTCCTGTCAAGTCTGCTCGAGGTTCAGCGGACTAGCAGCGCTGGCTACAACAAGTTTGGTACGATTCGAACGGTCACGACGGAGGCTACCTCTGTTGACGTGGGCGAGACGCCCTCTTTGACCTTCACCGAGGGGAGTTCTATGGCAGCATCGTTAGCGGAAGAGTTTGGTCGCAAGCGTCCGGGTGAAGTACCGTCGCGACCATCCCGAGAGCGGCGCCCGAGCGAGACGGCTCTGAACGACTTGACGCGAGTGGTGGAGGAGACCGAGGAGGGCTCTGCGAGCTCGAAAGCCGCAAAGGCCAGCAAGAAAGCCGCTGAGCGCCGCGCCGAGGCTGATAAGGAAAAGCAGCCGAAGTCGCAGCCAATCAAGTTGGGGAAAGGGAAATGGCCCGACGATTTCCTGGATGCGTTCTCGGCCCAGAAGAACCCACTGCTCGACGAAGACGAGGTTGATATGCCTGCCAGTCGTGTGCCTCTTTCTGCCTCTCCACCCCGAAAGCTCGCATATATCGGTGCGTCACGAGCCGACGCGAGCGTAGAGTCGCTTTCACCCCCTCCGCGGCGCCCTGTGCATCGGTCCAGGCACAGTATCGACACCCCCGGTCTTCTACCGAAGGATTCCTTGCTCCGTCGAGACTCTAGCCCAGATGCGGGCCTAGCGCAGCCGTCTTCCCCTCGAATTGTGCTTAGACGTAATAGCAGCAAAGCTGGTCATCATCGGAACGGGATGTACATACCACGGAGTAGTTCTCATTCGCAAGACAGCGAGTCGCGTGTCCCCTTCCCTCGCACTGTGTCCGCGGAGCACGGCACTCCTCCTGCTGCGGACCCGCCCGCCCGCGTATCCTCCCCAGCCGTGCCTGAGTCGAAGCAGGACGTATATGCTTGCGAGAGTAAGCCACGGCAGCCCCGGGGGCGATTCCAGAGCGAGATTGAGGGCTCCAGCGCTCGCAGGAAGGCCCGTCCAAACTCGGTCGACGACTTGGGGGCACAGCCCAGACGGTCGAGGTTCGAGAGCATGGTCAATTTGGGTGTTGCGACGGGCAATGCGAGTGCGAGTGACCTGATCACGAGGGACTCCTACGAGGGCAGTGCGGTGCGCCAGACCCTCATTGTCAAGGAGGAAGGCAAGCCGCCTACTCAATTCGTAAGCTGTCCAATGCAATTGGGTCCGGGCTTTGACTGACATGAGTGCGCACTTAGCAACTTGGCAACTGCATCGGACGAGGCCAGTTCGGAGCTGTCTACCGGGCGCTGAACCTCAACACTGGCCAGATGGTAGCGGTGAAGCGCATACGGCTCGAGGGGCTGAAGGAGGACGAGATCAAGCAGCTGATGAAAGAGGTTGACTTGGTGAAGAGTCTTTCGCATCCCAGTATCGTCAAGTATGAGGGTATGGCTAGGGACAACGACACGCTCAGCATCGTTCTCGAGTACGTGACTGACACCATCATGTGATATTCGCTCGCTCATAAGGCGGGGTTTAGGTACGCCGAAAACGGCTCCCTCGGGCAGACGTTAAAGGCCTTCGGAAAGCTGAACGAGCGGCTCGTCGCCGGATACGTGGTCAAGATTCTGGAGGGGCTGCATTATCTCCATCAGAGTGACGTCGTGCACTGCGACCTGAAGGCGGCGAACATCCTCACTACGAAGAACGGTAATGTGAAGCTGTCGGACTTTGGTGTTTCGCTTAACCTTCGGGCCATGGAGCGCGAGATGAAAGACGTCGCGGGCACGCCCAACTGGATGGCTCCTGAGGTGATCGAACTCAAGGGCGCTTCGACCAAGTCGGATATATGGTCGCTCGCGTGCACCGTGATCGAACTGCTCACTGGCCGGCCGCCGTACGCTGAGATTGCGAACAGCATGTCTGGTATGTGCCACTATCATAATTGCATCGAGGCCCGCCTAGACCTGACTTGTCTATCGCAGTGATGTTCCGCATCGTCGAAGACAACATGCCTCCGCTTCCTGACGGTTGCTCAGACAGCTTACAGGACTTCCTCAGGCGCTGCTTCAACAAGGATCCAAGTATGCGTCCGAGCGCTGAGATGCTTTGCGAGCACGAGTGGTTGAAAAAGAACTGGGCCCTTCATAACCAGGTTTGTGGGTCTCCGCAGGTTGTGTCCATTAATTCTGACTCGTCACCAGGAGCTGCGTCCGCAAGACAGCATCCCATTCCTGCGCCGTGTCAGTGCTGATTACCAGAACCAAAGAGCCGACATCATGCGTTATCTCGCGAACGTTGAGATGCCCGAGTCTGACAGGGCGACGCCCGAACTGCGTCCGCGCATAGACAACTCGCCTTGTCGGCGGCGCATGTCCAACGATCCAGAGTCCTTTTCTCCCCGCGAACATTCATTTGTCAGGACTACCTTTGGGAAGCGTGCGTAGTGTCCTCTTTGTGTTTGCCTACGGCTGACGTTTGCACAGCCGTCATTTGTCGCGTTTGTAACCAATCCGTCAAGAAGAGCGCGGTGCTGTGCGAGCAATGTAGCCTTATATCTCACGTCAAGTGTGCGCCAAACGCACCTCCTTCCTGTGACCTCCGCACGCAGCTGCTGCTGTACGCGCAGTATGCGGAGAGCAGCAGTCCAGGTGGTCAGTATAGCGACCCTATGGAGCTGCTGGCAGCGCTGCAGACGAATGGACCGGCGTTGTCCGATGGCGATTTAACGCCTAGGACAAGCATGGATTCGACGCCCCCACATCTTTCGCCCCTCAGCAGCCATCCTCACCCGCCGACGGCTTACAAAGTGCTGCAGGCATTCAAGCGCTCGAGGTCCTTTTTGACGGACCAGGACAGATCCTCCGCTTTGTCGATGTCGGCTCCTACGTCTCCCGTTCCCTCATCGTCGCAGACGCCCGAGCGGCGGCAAGTCACGCAGAAGCGCTCCATACTGAGACGCAAGTCGGACGTCCACGAACGCCCGCAGTCGATTTCCAGCGAGAGCACGTCGCAGAGGAACTCGAGTGTGCGGAGCGCGGTGACCGCGGCTGAGAGCTTGAACAGCACGACGCGCCGGTCGATCATCTCTACGGAAGGCCGCAACGGAGTGGAGAAGAGCGTCTCGCGGTTCTCGCAGGCGACTACGTTTTCGATAGTGTCCGCCGCGGAGACGGAGCGCGAGGATTCTGGCGCTGGTGTGTTGAACAGAAAGAGCAGCAAGGAAAAGCACCGCGACCGAGACAGTAAGTCGAGTAATAGCGGCTGCACCGTCCAGTGATTGTGGAGATCCGTCGCGTCTCGTCCCTCAGTCGAGCCCCCCAAACACACAACATTCTTGTACATATACCACCACCGCATTGTCGTCGCCCACGCACAACATGGATATTTATTACGCGCGTCCGCCAATTCTCTTGGTGTCCCCCTTTTATTCCACATCCCCTCGTCGGTACTGTATGATATCCACACTCATTGATAGGCCAGGCCGGACTTCACCACACTCATCATCGCTGCACGGTCTCCCTCCCCACTTACCTGTTTGTTTATTGCATATAGTGACTTAGTGTATTGTCTGCCCCGCACATAATGTTTTTCCTCCCCCCATCCCCCCGCCGTTGAAGTTGACGTAGCTAGCTCGCAGGGTGCCCGCCATCTCTTGTGCCGTGTACAGTATGTAGGGTTGCAAGATTACAGGAAATTCAGGCTCATTCATATGATGTTTTCTCGACGAGAGTAGAGAGGCCAATTTGAACAAGGCCGAGGCCGAGGCAGATGTCTATTCTGGTGAAAGCATTTGGTATATAGCAACACATAGGACTAGACCGCAATCTAAATGACAAAGACCAAACCTACACCAGCACCGCCAAACATACGATCCAAAAATACATTTCTTTGACTACGCGCCAGGAACAAAGGGACCCAATCCCGCCGCTTGGATCTTGCTCGGATCTTCTCGATTGAGCAGCTCGACAAGAGCAATGAGCTCCCGTCGGATGTCCTCCGAAACCTGTTCAGGCCCGCTAGGGTCCAAGACGTACGCGACGACGGCCAACAGACGGTCCATGTACGGATGGAGCGCGGACGGGAGCGTCCTGAACAGGTGGAAGATGGAGCGGAAAACCGCTGTATTCTCCAGATAGTCGTTCTTCAGCGGCAGTGCCTCGAAGAACACTGGCAGGACTTGGTCCAAGGGCACGGCCGCGGTATTCTTGCAGATCATACGCGCCACGGCGCCCACTGCATTGTCGCGAGCATTGAACCGGGCGTGCGGCGCGTCGGGCGACACAACGAAGAGGGGTCTGAGTGAGGCGAGAACGTTCATGTAGTGTACGGAGAGATCGAGAGCGGAATGCTCAATGAGGAGGCCGATGGCGAAAGCAGAGTTGCACTGCACTTCAGCCTCCTCATCAGCTAGCGCTCGGAAGAATAAGTCTAACAAGGTTTCAGTCATTGGAGTTACAGACGCTTTCATTCCGGCGATGATCTCGGAGAGACAACCGATCGCGGACGACCGATCACTGAGCGAGCGACTTTTTTTCTGCAGCACGAATTTATCAGCTTGGTAGCGAAACATAGAAATATTGTACCCACGTAGTACTTCGCAATGAGCGGATAGAACGACTTGAAAGCTTCAGCAAAATCTGCCCCCAAGACATTTGCGAGGGCAGCAACTAGATCGCCCGCTGAAGAGATCAACATTGAATCATACTCCGCTTGATCCTCAGGCGCCTCCTCGCTCTCATCTTGATCGGGGTCTTGCTGGCAGATGGCCTTTTGATCCAGGATTTGACTGGCAATATTGCCGATCTGCTCCAAACCTACAGGTGGGGTTGAGCTACAGGAAAGGGAGGAAGAGTCACTCAACAACACTTACGTTTTTCGAGAAGCGCAGGCCCAACTTTATTGATCGTTTCTGCGAGACCTACACAGAGACCGGCAACCACTTTCCTGGAAGTACATCTGGTGAGCACACGGCCGGATGCCTGCTCTTATATCTACGTACTTATTATCCTCTGATTCATACATCTCCAAGATAGGAGGTAGAACATGATTTATAAGAGCATTGACGCGTGGCTCAAGAGCAACATTCTGTAATGAATGCCGGTGATCAGCTACTTCGTTAGCGCCGTTTACTATGGAGCTGCCACTCACAGATTTCGCTCCAGGTTGCCATTCTTGCGGCTCACTGAGCTCATAGAAAGTCCGGATTGTCTCTAATAGTGCATCCGTCGCCGATTTCCTTATGCCGTCATAGTAGTGCGGGAGCATGGTGATGAGCTCGAGCGTACACTCCTCAACATATGGCAGGAAATGGGCCCGTGTTGCTCCAAAAAGAGCACCGATTGTATCTGCTGCAATTTCCTTCTCGATGCAAATTGTGCTGTTAACCTCCAACATCTTGTCAAGGTCGATATCTTCCGGTTCCATGTTAACGTTCCCGTTCGCATCGTCTGTAATCGTGATCGCGTTGGCGGGAGAGGAGCCTGATGCAAAGCTGGCAGCCGCCTCGGGGTTCGCAACTAGTAAGCGAGTCAATAGGGAGACAATCGAACCTCAGATAGTGACACACCAGATAGAGCATCATCATCTCCCTGCTCAGGCTGCTTGCAACTTGCGATCAATGACGGGACAACGTTAGGCAGGTACGGAGCAAATTCATCCTCAAAGACCCTCGACATTACACTGAAAAAGAGGAAACTGCACTCCCGAAGGCGGGCACTGCCCATTTGAATCCCCTCAAACGCTTGCTGCATCATGTCCGCGAAGTACGGCCGGAAGACGTCCTTGCCCACTGCTTCGGCGAAGGTTCCGACAGCGTCCATCGTGATACCACGAAGCTCTTGCTCTTCGCCTTCACCACGTAGTACAAGGAAGTGCTTGAATCGCTCCATCGTCGGCTGGAAGTAGGGCAAGAATTTGTCTCTCGACGCGTGTGCTGCGCTCCCCATCGCTCCGATCACAACTGACTTGACCGGGATAGGAGCATTATCTAGAAGCCCGACGAGGCGCTCCATCAAAAGTGGCAAGTACTGTTCGATCTTGTCTCCCAACACTTCTAATACCGCGTCCAACGCCGTACAAGCCGGTCGCTGTGTGACCGGATCATTCACGAGTTGCATGATTGTCTACAAAGTTGTCAGAACGAGCGCAACGGGAACAATGGAGATGTTGCACTGACTGGAATGAGCAATTCGTGCTTCGCGGCGCACTCTTCTTCCAACCACTCGCAGAGACAGCTCACGGCAACGCAGCTCGCTTTGCGCACCGTCGCATCAGGGTCCCGCAGCCCCGCCTCAATCACGGGCCATACTTGACTCATGAGAGGTGTCATAAACTCGCTGCAGCCCTCAACACACACGCCAAGTGCAAGCATCGCACCGCGGCGATAACTCGGCTCCGGCGACGAGAAATATTGTTGTATGAGCTGTCGAAGTACGGGGAAGACTTGAGTAGGAGGCAAACTTGTCGCAAGGCAGTCGATGATGCGGAGCGCAGACTGGATAGCCTTAGATGAGACAAATGCTGGCGGAGGGGTCGAAGAAGCTTACACGAGACGGTGCGTCATCATCAGGGTCTTCAGGTTCAGCTTCGGTAGAGATGGGCATCAGACCCTCAAGAATCGCTGGTGCAAGGCCGTGGCTTTGAACCTTCGATTTTTTACTGCAAAACCTGTCAAGATAATATGACAAGAGAACAGTTATCACGCACTATTGTACAGTCCAATTCAATGCATTCAGAGAGAGGATCCTGAGTTCATCTTCAAAATTGCGATTCGCGCCACACGTCAGAAGGAATTGCACGAGTTGGGGAATATGTTGTCCGAGAAGAGGAATTTCCTATGGGACACGACGGTATCAAGCCTCTGAAAATTTTAAGAGCGTACTAAGCCTCATACCAATATGAGCAACGTCTCGAGTACGTCAAACAACTGTCGGGCACCAGTCTCATTGCCGGCCTCGACACACTGACCAATAATGGTGATCATACCAGGGAGAAGTTGCTGGAAAGATTTCTATCGAGAAGTCAGACGGAATGAGCATAAGATCTCACTATGTACGCACTATGTCCCCTTTATCATCAGCATCGATATACTGTGCAATGACTCCCAACGCCCTAATACGTAATTAGCTCCGGGCGCATTGCAGAGACAAACCAGCTCACCTAACTGTAGTAACCCTAACTTCAAGGCTCTCGGGATCAGCGAGCAATCCTTCAAACAGCTTGAAGAAATTTTGCATGTGATTTTCGAAACCCTCTACAATGTTCTCAAGCACGGTGTAGAGGATATAAACTCCAACTTCGCGATGTGCAGCTGTTGGGGATGTGCATGTTTGTTCCAAAAAAGGGAGCAATTGCTGCCACTGCCCGATAGGGATTTCGATCGCGGCAACGGCTGCGATGACACGTGCGGTCGAGTGGCGAACGAGATTACTGTTGATATCTGAGTGATAAAGCTACAAGTAGCCAGGCGTCTGCACTGACCTTGGCTCAGAGAGCACAAGTCCGGGAAGTCTGTCTTTGATCTGCTCCCGATCTTCGTGTGGAACAAGCATCCATAAGTCTCCACTTCCCTGCTGAATGCGTTTACGCAGTTCGACTGCGGCAAGTTGACGAACCTGATTTGACAACGATAAAACGGCAGTAGAGAGGAGACTCGGAAGACATACCGCTTGATGGGGAGAACTAGCGATTATACTCGCCAACGCCGGAACACATGCAGGGTCCCTGTAATACTCTCGGTTGAGTTGAGAAGTAGCCTATCGCATGACGATTAGCTTTGGGACTTTGGTGCCATCTACTACTGTCCCTGCTCACAGCTTTCAGTTGAACGGTATCATTGGCTGTAGATTGAAGGAGAAGGGCATGCAGGCCCTCAAGAAAATTTGGCTAGTAGATGCGATGATTAGATGTACGACATTCTATTCACGTAGTAACTTACATCCATGACCGTAGACGAGAGGAAAACGAGAAGCGAGGAGCAAAAGAGTAGCAGGCGGCGCAAGGCAGAGGCCAAATTTTGGCTGAGTGCGAAATCCACGTGGTCGTGATCGATCAGCAAATGCAGCTATATTACGTAATGTATATTACCGAATCGAAATATCCCGGTGGTCTTGGCCACGGCACACTTCGTATTTGACGGACCACTGCTTCATGCAACAATGAGAGCTCACATTCCACTACTTAATAGGAACATTTCCCGACGCTGCTTTCACGGCCGGAATTTCAATCTGAAATCTGCTGCGTTACTGTCAGAACACAAGCGAAATGCGCACTCGACAGTGAACCCGGACGAAATCGCTTTGTTCTCCCGTCTTTCGTCTCTCTGGTGGGACGAGCACGGCGAGTTTGGCATGTTACATAGAATGAATCCTATACGGATGCAATTCATGCGAGAAAAACTGGTGGGCGACCAAGAAGCCAACCTACGCATTGTGCTGACCGATTACTGACGCAGCTAGAGTCGGCACGGGAACACCAGGACGAAGATTCTTGCGAGGCTTCGGAAACGTTTGCTGGCCTTGATATCCTTGATATTGGTTGTGGTGGAGGATTGCTTTGCGAGGTGCGTCTCTTGTCAAACGAACGTCAATTTCTGAGCGGAACTATGTTCTAGAGCCTTGCCCGCTTGGGTGCAAATACCCTCGGCATAGACGCTTCGTCTTCTAATGTTGCCATTGCCACGCATCATGCCTCAGCTGATCCTAGTTTGAATCTATCTTCGCACTCCCCGGCGCATAAATCGTCCCGGACAAGTCCAGGAATGTTATCTTATGCACATACCTCTGCTGAAGATCTCCTAGCCGCGCAAGGACCAAAACAATTTGATGTGGTCTGCGCAATGGAAGTAATTGAGCATGTGGATAACCCTAGGCTCTTCTTGAACGATTGCGCCCAGCTCGTCAAAGTATGGATCCACTTATTCTAAATATACAAGGATTGATTGAGCGTTCATCCATCAATGACAGCCCGGCGGTCACTTGTTTATCTCAACAATTGCACGCACACCGCTTGCTTACTTCCTCACAATCTTCGCAGCAGAACAAATGCTCCGTCTTGTTTCGCCCGGCACACACACTTATTCAAAATACATTAACCCAAACGAGCTTATTGATTATTTCCATCAATACAAGGGTCCCGAACGTGAAGTGCCTTGGATCACGCGTCTGGTAAATGGCATTCCTTTGCGTACGGAGGCTGAAACCAGAGGCATGGTCTACCTGCCCTGGAAGGGCGAATGGTCGTTAATTCCGCGTCATGCTCTCGGTGCAAAATGGGCCGAAGGTTGTAATTACTTGTTCTGGGTGAGGCGGCCTACAGAATGAACCAGATGCACTCATATGCACCCTGACTGTATAAAGACGTGGTTTAAGATTGTAAATATCAACTCATTAGACGTTCACCCCAAACCAAACGCTGCCGATGAGCGCGAACGGCACCTTGAAGAGTGATCCACGCGATCCAAATGCAAGCCAAGAGAGCGAGTGTAAATAGGGCGCGCTAACAATACATGCATGTCATGAACAATCCGCATAAACGTCAGATAAACATAAACGAAGTGGAAGAAAAATGCACGTACTATGAGCATCTTCCATTCCGAGCTAACCGGAGCATTCGTCGTGAAGATTATGGCCCGCAATCGAAGGGAGACTGGCGTGTTCAGCCACTCCAAGGTCGCGATGAGATCGCGTGCCTGATCAAAATTGCACGTTGAAATATAACTCGGAGAAACCATCAGGCTACATACTTTAGCCTTGCCGCGGTCATAGACATGCCTGATGTCTTGTACCTGTTGGCCGACTCTAGGTAACGTTCTTTCGAGGTCTTCCAACATAGATAAATTCTCATCAAGCGAGTGCTCCACATGTGGTACGGATGTGGTCAGTGCGAGATCAGCACGGCGCTGGTTTTGCTGTGGGAGTGTCAGCAAGGTAATCGGATCCTCGCGAGGAGACAGACAAACCTGAATCTCAGACAGCACCTCTTGCAGTAGATTATGAATAGCACGAGAGTTGCTCATGTCTACGGCAAGCTTCGCCTGAAATGAGATGAAAGAATCAGTATCAAAATACAATGCACAAACTCGTAATACCTCAAGCTCCTTGATATCATGCTCATACCGGGACGCGCGACGAGCCATCGACGCGAGTGCGGTATCTGAGTCTCTGGGAGTACATCGTATGCTAAGCCAAACGACATTAGAGGTTGTTTGGGTGCTCACCGCGTCCTCGCAGAGATATACGCGCCTTCCACAGCAGACGTCTCTTCAGACTGTAGATCGGACGGCATGGTCGCAGGCGAATGGATCAGCCTCCAGCTGGGCTACCCCCTGGCGAAAGGACGACGACGACCCAGCGCAGAAAGAACACGAAGGCGGGGATGAACAAAAGAGGTGCCGTTGCGTCCCCGCCTGTACACCCCGCTTAGTAGGCTAAGGAATGCGGCGCTGATCGCCCCCCACGTGCCAGAGACGGAAACAAGCTGTTTCCCCATAAGGCAATCCCCAATCAATGCCGTCTCTGCCATGTCGGTGACCAGAGCTCAGCTGCTCGCCTCTGCACACGCTTTGTGTGATGCCTTTGCGTCCAAAGCAGACATCGATGCGCTCTTGTCAAACTTCTCCTCCACCCACCAGATATCTGCCTTTGAACATGGTGAACCTCTCCTTGCCCCCTTCCTCGGCCGGTCCTTCACAGGGTTAAGAGGTTCTCAATCTGTCCCCGCATATTTCTCTCTCCTTCAGCAGCATCTCACATACAGCGATATGAGCTTTGGTGAATGGGTTGTCGACACAGATGTCCGGAAGGTGTGTGTCAAAGGCTGCGCGCAGTTCACCTGGGTGGAGGGCGAGGGCAAGGGACAATCCTGGCACGAGAAGTTCATATATCTGCTCGATTTTGATGAAGCAGCAAAAATCACGGATTACCAGGTGTGGGCAGACTCCGGAGCTGCTTACCTTGCAAGCAGGGGCGAATTATCCGACAAGAAAGAGGCATGTTCTCTTCTGCGCTCAGGGACCAAGACTCCTGACCTGCGAGCGTGTTACACAGGTATATGCGGAAGCATCCAAATCGGAGAAACGGTGATCATCTATAATCTCATTTGGCTGTGTTCACTTGTCTGATGTCGCAAATACGTTCTTATCCAGGGGTTCCTAACTTGTGATAGACTCCATTCCAACCAGGTCGCTTTGCCGTACTTATCCAAGTACTCTTAGACAATTGTCGGAGACTACTGAGGATTATGCATTGCGCGACAGCTCCAAAGACACAGTCGTAAAGTGAGGCTTGCCTCACATGCGTTTTTAGATAGCACCCAAAGTCATGCGGGAAAAAAAACCCTATCACAAGTCTATTCCAGTACATAGCCCTCGGCAGCATATGTTACTACATAAAAAGAAGACACATCTCTCCCAACGATGCATACAACAGTACAAAATTCTGACGTCACGTCAGTGGAAGAATACAAAGGTATAACCGAACGCGAGCGCATCCCGTGATCCCAGAAACAAACATGGGAATCACTTTCGTTTAAAACACGGTGGGCCGCAACATCAGCGAGGCTTGAAGTTCGCCCAATTAGCGGGATTCACCGTCTAGCTCACGGGCCAGGAGTCCGCGCGGACAGTAGTGATCCAGGAGGTGCCCGCATCGGGATACTGCACATGTAGAAGTCAGCAGGGCGGTTGGGACTGTGGGAACCGGGCTCACCTGCCAGACCATCACGCCCGCATCTGATGCATCAACGGTCAGCATTTTGCCTGTTGTCTATGCGGGACGAACTTACCCCATCCCTCCTCCTGGGCCTCTTCGACGCACTCAGCAAGCGTCGAGGGGCTCATGTATCCCGTGCTAGCGTCGCCGGTCGTGGCGGGCTTTCCGATCACCAGCTTGTCCAAGGTTACGCCGCTGCTCGCGATCTGGAACAGCGCGCTTTCGGGCCAAGTCGAGCTCGAGTTCGTGAGCAGGCCAGAGCACGTCGTGTATTCAGTGCTGCCCTCTGCGAAGCACTCCCGATCAGCCGAAGAGTATTTATAGAAACCCGTACGGACTCACGGTTGTAGAACTACAAGTGGAGACCGGACCGTTCTCGTCAAGCCGCATCACGCCTGTTATGCATTGAACGTTCTGCTCACCTGGATGTTGTACTGCAGCGCGGCATCGCGACCAGTTAGCGATGTGTGATCGATGTGTATCAAACAGAGACTTACCCAGTCAATAAGGCTTCCAACTTCCGAGTCGACCGTCAGGTAGCCTCCGTTGATCCAGTAGTTGGGTGAGAACCTGCCACATGGTCAACTCTAAAATTCGGCACGCTATCGCAAACATCATACCAAGGCGCAACCGCTGGTATTCATAGCACAAAATGAGCTTCAAATATGTCTGATCTGGTGTCTCACTCACGGGCATGGGTGATGATGTAGTCGCCCGCGGGAAGCTGGGCGCGCAGCTGCGTTGTGAAAGTCACCAGCCACGCCTCTGCGGTGCCTGCGTCCATTGCATCGAAATCCTACACGCTCCTCGTCAGAACCGGACAGCGATCCGGGGAGCGTACGCACCTCGTAGTCGACGTCGATGCCGTCCAGGTCGTATTCCTGGACCCAGGCCGCGAACGTGTTCGCGGTGTCGGTGGGGTCCGCGCCGCTCGTCGTTGGCACGTCGCTCGAGCCGAAGCACGACACCATGAGCGAGATCCCCGCGTCATGGTACTCGGACAGGATCGTGGCGCGGTCCGACGCGGTCAACTGGGTCCACCCCTCGGCGTTGTCCCACGCGCCCTCGAGGAGGAGGAACGCAAGGATGCTGCGACACAAATTTAGCTCGACATTCATTCCCGGACTACGTCCGAGGATTTCACGCACAACACGTTGTACCCCTGGTTGCCTACGTCAGTATGAGACCCTGGGGGGGGTGGGGGTGGCTAGCACTACGCACCGTGACGTCCGCGACGGGCGGCGCGCCGGTGACGCCAGAAACCCCCGCATCGAAATACTCCACAAAATACGGCGCCGTCGGGGCGGCCCTGCGCACGGGCGTGGATATCGCGACTGGGGCAGCCCCCTCGTCCAGCCCGTCTGCGGCCGGCGCACCGAGCGCAGGACCGACGGCGCGGAGGGCGAGGCCGAAGAAGATAGCAGTGAGCAGGCGCGAGACGGAGAGCGCGAACATGTCTGTCTGGAGCTGCTGGGCTGCTGCGAAAGCGAGGAGCGGGCGTCGCTTGGGGCCTGAACAGCGTCCTCTGCACGCATTATATACGTCCCCCGGCGCGAGCGCGTGAACACGGGAGCATGCAAGAATGGGAAGCCACGCGGTTCTTCCAGGGACACGGACGAGGGTGCTCGCCATATCTGCCGGGTTCTGTGCGAGTGCGATTCCGCGGAAGGGGCGAGCATGGGCTTGCGGCGGCGTGCAGCGCGATGGGGCGCTCGCACGGACGCCGGCAGGGCGGCAGGACGTGCACACACGAGGTCATCGGGAGGGGTGCAAAGTGCGCTTATGCCGATGCGTGCGCGCGGGTGGTAGCGCGTGGGCATGGGTGTGCAGCGAGTCAGTCCCCAGTCGGAATGACTGCGCTCAGCGAAATTGAAGTGCGCTCGATAGGAACAGGGCCCGCGTATCGAACGAATGAATGGGGTCCATGCACACAGCGATTGTTGATAGTGCTGTGTCCCCCCGAAGCACCAGCCTTCTGCGGCGGGCGCGCTGCAGGGAAATCGCAGGAAGTGTCAAATGGGGGG